CCCCGGGGTCCCCGCGCCGCCGTGCCCCGCGCACCTGCTGCTCCGCTCCCGATCGCGACAGGGCGCCGACGAGGGAGCCGGGCCCGCTCCAGGAGCAGCAGCTGTGCCCGGCATTACACTCCGAGGCGAACCCCTCGCGCTGTCGCGACACCATCGCCTGTCGCGACAGGTGTGTCGCCATGGGTGGGCGGCGGCCACATAGAGCTTTTCTGCCCGCCGATAGCCCGCGGAGCGCCCCGGGCGGGGATGGCGGGGCGCTCCCTCCATCCTCGCCTGTCGGTTCACTCGCGCCTGTCGAGACACACGCACCTGTCGCGATTGTCCAACCCGTCGCGATAAGGAGCCAGGTCCGCAGGTGCGGGAAAGGAAAAGCCCAAGCACGGCCGGGCCCGGTCCAGCTCAGCTCGGCCCGGCCCGGCCCGGCCCGGCCCAACCCAACCCGGCCCGGCCCTGCCCCGCCCGGCCCCGCCGGTACCTCCCGCTCCGGTGCCGCTCCCGGTGCCGCTCCGGCCGCGATCGCCTCTCACCCGAACCTGCGCCGCGGGGGCGGGGCCTCGTCGGTGTGGACCAATCAGCGCCCGTTCTGGCGGCCGGGGGCGGGGCCTGGGCCCCCAGCAGGGTGGGCTGCGCGCGGCATGACTGACAGGCGGAGGGGGCGGGGCCAGCGCCTGGAGCCCCGCCCCCCGCCGCCTGCACGCGCTGTTGCCGTGGCGACGGAGCGCGCGCGGAGACCCCCGGTGACCCCCGGTGACCCCGGGACCCCACCGGGACCCCCCGGGACACCCCCGGAACACCCCCGGGACATCTCTGGGACACCCCCGGGACCCCCCCGTGACCCCCCCGGGACACCCCCGGGATACCCCCGGGACACCCCCGTGACATCTCTGGGACATCTCTTGGACACCCCCGGGACACCTCCGGGACCCCCCGGGACACCCTGTGACACCCCCGGGACCCCCCTGTGACACCCCCGGGACATCTCTGGGACACCCCCGGGACCCCCTGTGACACCCCCGGGGCACCCCCGGGACATCTCTGGACACCCCCGGGGCACCCCCGGGACACCCCCGGGACCCCCCCGTGACACCCCCGGGACATCCCCGTGACACCCCCAGGATGCCCCTGTGAGCAGCCTGGTGGCCCTGGAGTGACGGATGTGACCCTCGGGCTGTGCTGCAGCAGTGGGGACACAGGGCTGGGTCATGGAGCTGGGGGGACCTCCTGCTTCATCCCCATCCTAATGTCCACTTCCCGTCCCATCCCATCCCATCCCATCCCATCCCATCCCATCCCATCCCATCCCATCCCATCCCATCCCATCCCATCCCATCCCATCCCATCCCATCCCATCCCATCCCATCCCATCCCATCCCATCCCATCCCATCCCTGCCAGGACCCCCAGGTCCTTCCCACAGAGCTGCCCCAGCCCCTGTCACTGCCAGGGGCTCTTCCCTCCCCAGGGTGGCATTTGTCCCTGTCACGTCCCTGCTGGTCCCTCCTGCAGCTGGACACCTGCCACTGTCCCAGGGTGTCCCAGTGTCCAGCCTGGCCTTGGGCACTGCCAGGGATCCAGGGTGGGCACCCTGTGCCAGGGCTGCCCACCCTGCCAGGGAACAATTCCCAATTCCCAATATCCCACCCAGCCCTGCCCTCTGGCACTGGGAGCCATTCCCTGGGTCCTGTCCCTCTGTCCCTTGTCCCTCTGCAGCTCTCCTGGAGCCCCTCCAGGCCCTGCCAGGGGCTCTGAGCTCTCCCTGGATCCTTCTCCTCTCCAGGTGAGCCCCCCCAGCTCCCCCAGCCCGGCTCCAGCTCTGGGGGCTCCTTGGGGCTCCCCCAGCAGCTCCAGGTCCTTGTGCTGCTGCTGTTTGACCCTGTTAAGACCCAATTAGTGAGAGGAGCCTCTGCCTGAATTAAGTTGCAAATGAGACCCTAAGCCAAAGTCAACAATATGGATTTTACTTAACAATAAATGTGAGTTACACAGTTCTCTCATTAATTAATTAATAGTCTATCTCCCACTGGTTAAACACGTCCTTTGCTTCTCACGCTAATTAGTGCCATGCTCAGTGTCACTTTTGCTCTGGATCTTTTTGGGTCTCTGGTGGCACTCTCCCCTGCTGGGGCTGATTCAGCACAGCCCTGAGGTGGGTTTATCCGTTTCTTCCTCAGCTCGGGGTCTCTGCCCAATGTCCTCGGGGCTGGTGAGTTCTGCACTCTCGGTACCCACATCCCCCTCCCACCCTGCCAGCCCGCCCAGGTGAGATATTACTGAATTTATCTCCCCTGGGCAGCAGCACCGGCCCCCCCAGCCCAGGTCAGGCGGCCACGGGGCACATTTGGGATCCTGGGCCGGAGTTTGGGAGCAGCGGCTGCTCTCGCACGGCCACAGAGGGGAAATGTCCGTGTTCAACCGGGACCTTCCTGGCACAAATCCCTCCTTGCTGTGCCCCAACGGTGCAGCCACCATTTATTTCCTCATCCCAATCCTGGACATTCCTTACCCACAGCGTGCTGGAAATACCTGTACACCAATAATGTAAAATTGCCCCTCCTGGATCCCCCTGCAATACACCTTTCACAGTTCCATTTATCCAAAATATCCAATCTCATCTACGGCCCATCCTTTAAAACTGTTCCTGCTTCAGTTCCTCTCTCAGCAATGCCTCATTCTGGAACATTTCTAGGTCAGCACTTCTTATCTCAAAGTTTGCACACAAACCCACGCCACGTGAACCTTCCATCAGATTGTGAACATTTTCTGTAAATCCATTTCCCCCCATCTTCTCCCAGGGCGGCTCCTGCAGCCACCCACGGCCCGGCCCGGCCCGGGGGCAGCTCCAGCCCTGGAGCTTTTTGTGATTTCTGGAGCTTTTTTGTGCTTTCTGGGGCTTTTTGTGCTTCCTGGGCTCCCACGGCCCTCAGCAGCCCAGGGAGGCGGCAGTGCCCTGCGGCAGAGCCCGGGTGCCCAGGCTGCCACACCTGTCACACCTGTGTCACACCTGCCACACCTGTGTCACACCTGTCACACCTGTCACACCTGTGTCACACCTGTGTCACACCTGTATCACACCTGTGTCACACCTGTGTCACACCTGTCACACCTGTCACACCTGTGTCACACCTGTATCACACCTGTGTCACACCTGTATCACACAGTTTCCTGACCCACGGCTCGCGTGGCAGACATGGGGGTCCCACCTTTGGGGGTCCCGCACCCCCACCCCAGGGCTGCACGAGCCAAAGCCCCCCGTGCCCAGGGGAGCCCAGCCCGGACCCCCAACCTGGGACTGAGACCCCCAACCTGGGACTGAGACCCCCAACCTGGGACTGAGACCCCCAACCTGCGACTGAGACCCCCTGGCACCCCATTACTCACTGGGACCCCCTGTCACCTGCACCCCCAACCCACCCAGGGCTCTCCAGGACCCCACAACCACCCCAATCCCACCCCTTCACCCCAATCCCACCCCTGCCAGGGCCCCAGGGCTCTCCAGGACCCCAAAACCACCCCAATCCCACCCCTGCCAGGGCCCCACAGCCACCCCAATCCCGTCCCTGCCAGGGCCCCAGAGCATTCCAGGACCCCAAAACCATCCCAGTCCCACCCCTGCCAGGACCCCACTATCAGCCCCCGGATCTCCCCACCCACCAGGACAGAACACACAACCACACAGAGGCTGTTTTTTTTTTCTCTTTTTTTTTTTCCTCTTTTTTTCTCTTTTTTTTTTTTTTTTTGCACAAAACAGGACATTTATTCAAGTGTTCTCCAGCACAAGTACATTAGAAAGGAGCTCGTCTGTATTATATTCTTCTGGGCACCAAAGAAAAAGAAAAGGAGGATGGGATGGAAGCGGGACGGACAGACTTTCTACATCTGCTGCACGCATTGACCTTTATTAGTTCAGAACAGCTATGTCACGAGCAATACTCACACAGATACAACAGCGCCGGGCGCCCGCGGCACCCCGGCCGTGAAATGCACAGTTCAGCGGCAATAAATAGAGAAGCGACCCTAAAAAAACAAACCAACAAAAAAACAGGGGCAACGAACCGAGAGAGAAGTAGAAAATAAACGGGGTCGGGGTGGGAACGGGGCAGGGAGAGCGGCCGGGCGGCCAAATCAAAGGGAGGAGGAGGGAGGGAGGAAGGAGGGCACCAGCTCTACGCGCGTATTCCTCGGGATGATGAGTACATGATTCTCACAAATAGTTAAGCGTCAGCTACTTCAATGCCTAGGCTAAAACACAGGAAATCTCTCATTTAGTTTTCAAGTACAAAGTTAAAATGCCTTTTTCTTTTTTGTTTTTTTTTTTTAATAATAATATATAAGAGTAAAATAATAGTGCTCTTTGAAACTCCACTACGAGAAACAAAACAGTCATTGTCCAGACAGCAGACTTAATTTAACAATATATATTTTTAATAAAATGTTTTAGCACCGTGTTTGTCCCCACTCCCTCGGCGGATCTTAAGGAATTCAGGCCTTGCTGTGTTGTTTTGAGTTTTCATCTAGGGCTGTGCAACAGAATTTGTCTGGTTGTTTTTTAAAAAAAGACGTGAGTCGGGTACGTTAAAAACTGAACTCTTGCCCCAGGCATCCCCACGGTCCCCCCCGCCTGTTCCCAGCAGGAACCTGCTTCCCTCCGGCACCGGCACCGGCACCAACACCGGCACCGCACCGGCACCGGCACCAACACCGGCCCCGCGCCGCAGCACCCGCTGGGACCCAGCCCCCAAAGGTGCAGCAGGGCCAGGGGGGTCCCAGCAAGCGCTGCAGGGCCGGGCTGAGCCGGGGCGGCCCCGGGGGTCCGCCGGGACCCCCAAACCCAACACGGGGCTGTGCAGAACCCGCCCGGCAGTGCCACAGGATGGGGCAGCACCGGCACCCGGGGCTGCAGGGCCACGCGGGGTCAGCACCCAGAGCTGCAGGACTGTGCAGGACCAGCACCCAGAGCTGCAGGACCAGCACCCAGAGCTGCAGGGCCATGCAGGGTGAGCACCCAGAGCTGCAGGACCGTGCAGGACCAGCACCCAGAGGTGCAGGGCCACACAGGGTCAGCACCCAGAGCTGCAGGGCCATGCAGGGTCAGCACCCAGAGCCACAGGGCTCTGCAGGACCAGCACCCAGAGCTGCAGGACCAGCACCCAGAGCCACGGGGCTCTGCAGGACCAGCACCCAGAGCTGCAGGACCAGCACCCAGAGCCACGGGGCTCTGCAGGACCAGCACCCAGAGGTGCAGGACCAGCACCCAGAGCTGCAGGACCGTGCAGGACCAGCACCCAAAGCTGCAGGACCAGCACCCAGAGCTGCAGGACCAGCACCCAGAGCTGCAGGACCAGCACCCAGAGCCACGGGGCTCTGCAGGACCAGCACCCAGAGCTGCAGGACCAGCACCCAGAGCTGCAGGACCAGCACCCAGAGCTGCAGGGCCGTGCAGGGTGAGCACCCAGAGCTGCAGGACCAGCACCCAGAGCTGCAGGGCCATGCAGGACCAGCACCCAGAGCCACGGGGCTCTGCAGGGTCAGCACCCAGAACCATGGGGCTCTGCAGGACCAGCACCCAGAGCTGCAGGGCCACACAGGGTCAGCACCCAGAGCTGCAGGACTAGCACCCAGAGCTGCAGGGCCGTGCAGCATCAGCACCCAGTGCCACGGAGCCCTGCAGGACCTGCCAACAACGTTGCAGGGCCATACAGGATCAGCACCCAGCACCTCAAGGCCATGCAGGATCAGCACCCAGCGCCACAGCGCCATGCAGGACCTGCATCTGCCACGGTGCAGCTATGCAGGGCCTGCAATCAGCACTGCAGGGCCTGCAATCAGCACTGCAGGGCCTGCAATCAGCACTGCAGGGCTGTGCAGCGCTGGCACCCAGGTCTGTGGGACGGTGCAGGACCCACAGCCAGCGCAGTGGATCCCTGCAGGACCCACAGCCAGGGGCACGGAGCCATGCAGGACCTGCAGCAGTGCTGCAGGGCCATGCAGGACCCGCAGTGCCCACTGTGCCGCACACAGGACGCCCCGGGCCATGGCAGCCCCACAGACGGGCTGGTGGGGCCGTGCAGGCTCAGACAGCAGCAGCAGGCAGCAGCTGTGCCCGGTGCAGCGGTCCTGTGCCATCCCGTGCCATCCCGTGCCATCCCGTGCCATCGGCCCCGGGAGTGAGCAGGAGCCCAGAGCCCGGGGCCGGCGCCCTCCTGCCTCGCCACCTTCACTCCCCGGCCCAGCCACTGTGCCAGCTCAGCTCCCGTGCCCCCCGCACCCAGAGGGGCCCCGAGCCCCCAGTAGCACCAGGAGGGAGGGGAGGGGAGGCGGGGGTCCCGCCGCCGTCGGTCCCAGCACCTCGGGGCGCGCGGGCCGCGCCTCGCTGCCATTAGCCAGCACCCCGCAGCGAGCGCGGCCCCGGTGCCCGCGCCTTTCACAGTTAGAGAGGAGACGGCGGCGGCGCCCGGGAGCCTCCCCGTGCCCTAGCACCAGTCCCTGCCCCGCGGGCACCGCGGTGCCGCCGGAGCAGTAGCACCATCCATCCACCGCACTGCCAGCACCTGCCCGCGCTCTGCTCACACCGCGGCACCGGCACCAGCACCGGAGCCACCGAGGGGACGCGCTCGCTCCAAACCCGCGCGGGCAGGAGGGCGATGGCCCGGCGGTCACGGTGGCACCGCCGCGGTCCCGTCCCGGCTCGCCGGGGCATCGCCCTCCTGCCGCCGGCCCGGCCCCGCGGATGTAGCACCAGGGTCCGGGACCCGCGGCCATCCCCGTGCCATGCCGGAATCGCCCCGGCCGCGATCCGGCACCGCTCTGTCCCCCTGCCCCGCCGGCGTCCTGGCCACCGCCCTCGGCCGGAGCCCGTCTGCGGCGCCGTGCCCCGCAGCGCCGTGCCCCGCGCCGCCCCGGCGGGCAGCGCCCACGGCGAGGGGCACGGCCGGGGGCAGGACCCCCCACCGGGGACACCGACGCGGGCCCGCCGGACGCCACGTACGCAGAAGAGCACCAGTACGCTGTGGGGTGGCGCCGGCGGGGCAGGGGGCACCGCCGAGGCGCTTCCGTCGGGACAGAAAAGGGTTATTGCATGACTCGGGATGGAGACGCTTCCGCCCGGCCGCCCCGGCCCTGCCGCTCGCTCGGAAAGGCCCGGCACGTAAGGCAACGTGGAAGCTGATGTCTCGACTCACCCCGCTGTGTAAAGCACCATTATGAAGTCAGGTTGTACAGTAGTAACAGTACCTTTTATATATATATATATCTATATCTCATATCTATCATATATATATAAACTGTAAACAAGAGGTAACAGCGGCTTCTAGGATCTGCTCTCTTCAAGGTTTCCGTGTGGTAGGCACCCAAAATACTGTAGAAAAGGTGTGTGTGTGGTGTGTGTGTTCCCGGCCTCCCTGCCGGGCTGGCTCCATGTCACCGGAGAGCGGTGCTGGTGGAACAGAGCGAGGCTCAGCCGCCGGGGCCGGGGCCGGGCCGGCCGGGCGCTGGCGCGGACGGAGCGGAGCGGTCTCGGAGCGGGTCTCGGAGCAGAGCGGGTCTCCTTCGCCTCCGCCTCCCTCCCCGCTGGGCTTCCCCGCTGCCGTTTCCCCCTCTCCGAGAGCGGCGCTGGCGACGGCATCTCGTCTCGCCCGCTGCTCCGAGAAGTGGAAACCGAACCGACAGGAAAACCCAGCCAGAAAAGAGCGGAAAATTAAAAGGTTACCCAAAAAAAAAAAAGGTTTTGGTTTCTTTTCTTTTTCTTTTTTTTTTTTCTTCCGTTTTGTTGTCGTTCGTTTGCTTTTTCCATTTTCGTTGGCTTCTTGTGGTTTTTGTTTGCTTTTAAACAGCTAAAGCTGATCCTGGGAAATTCCGGAGAGGACACCGACCCCTTTCGCTCGGGGAGACGTGTGCTGGGTTCCCGTCGGGCTGCGAAATCCCGTCTCTCTTCTGGGTGCTGACTCTTCTCTCATTCCGTGTGTTCACTTCTCTTGGCGTGGATGGGTTTGTTTCCGACTCGCTCCGCGTGACCAGTCCTGCCCATCCCTAGACGCAGGCGAAGTATTCCTTCAGGGGCGCGAAGAGGTGGCGGATCACCGGCACGCTCCAGGACCTGCCGAGCAGTCTCTGCCGGGCCAGGCGGCTCATGTTGGACACGTCCGTGTAGTGCACGGGGAAGCCGAACACCCTGCGAGGGGACGGGAAGGGGTCGGGTCAGGGGCCCGGCGCGGGCGGCACCTGGCGCGGCGCCCCGGCCCACCCGCGGCACCGGCACCGGTACCTCTCCATCTCCGTGCACCACAGGATGTCCTCCTTCTCGTTCATGAACACGGGGAAGTGCTGGTCCTTGCCCTGCTTGATGGAGTTGGAGCGGGTGGTGATGGTTCGCACTTTGCTGAACTGCAAAGAAGAATGGGGCTGGTCAGGCTGGGGCACCGGGCGGGTGACTCCCGCCCCTGGAGCTGCTGCTGATCCCTCCTGAAACCCCCACCCCGTGCCCCAGGGAGCCTGGGACTGCTGCTGGCGGCGCTGGAATCCCACTCCTGCCCCTCCAGGCCCCCCTCACCACCAGCCCGGGCTGACCTTTGCTATCCTGCCGTGCTCCAGGCACTCCTGCAGCTCCAGCTTATCGTTGACGGTGGATGCGAGCGGCCTGGGGGGGAAGAGATGGTGGGCAGGGGGTGGCAGCACTGTGTCCCCATCCTGTCCCCCTGCTCTGGGCGCAGGGCAGGGGCCCAGCTGGGGTTTGTGGGGGTCACAAGGTGGCCACGGCTGTCTTGGGGGTCGGTGGCAGTGATGGGCAAGAAGCAGCTCCTGTGGGAGCCCATCTGCGGCCACCACAGCCAACATCCAAGAGGGACACAGGGGACAGCTTAGTGCCACCCCTCCAGCACAAGAGAGCTGGGACAGGACCAGCCACCCCCGTGGGGGAACCACCATAGGTTTCTGGGGGGTGCCATCACCTCTTTGTCAGACTGATGCTCTCGCCCAGCCCCGACCAGGGTCAGGGGACCCCCAGAGCCACAGCTGGGCTGAGGGGGGACCCAGGGGGCAGCCCACCCTCCCAGAGCCTCCAGGGACCCACCCTGGGGCCACTCTCACCCACCTGTTCATGCCGGGCAGGTTCCCCCAGAAGTACCGTGCCCGGTGCGCTGCGGACACTTCTTTGGCATCGATCATGACGGGATTGGACTGAGGGAGGGAGAGCGGGAGGGTCAGTGGGGCTGGGTGGCCCCTGGCTGTGGGGGTGAGCCCTGGGGGTCCCTGGGGCTGGAGGGGGCTGACCCCAGGCGGGCACTGACCTCCAGGAAGCGCGAGATGTCCCTCTTGTCGCTCACCCCCATGGCCACCACGTTCTCGAAGAGCCAGAAGAAGGGCCGGTCGTCGCCCTCCTTGGGCCGGGCTTCGTGCAGCAGGCGGTAGAACTCGAAGAAGAGGCGCCCAGTGCCCTCTGGGAGGAGAGAGGAGGGCTGGGGTCAGGGCTGGGGGTCTCTGCCAGCCCTGGGGGACCAGCCCCAGCCCTGCAGAGCCCAGCTCCTACCGTAGAGACCCTTCCTGGCCGGGTTGACGATGGACAGGTCGTTGCAGGGGCTGCCCCCGATGACCAGATCGAAGGGGCCCCACTCCTGTATCTGCAGGGGGAGAGAAGAGCCCAGGTGAGGCAGGCCTGCCACGGCCCGGGGGACACGGGGCACAACGGTGCTGAGCTCCCGGGGCGGGAAGGGACCCACCGGGACCGCAGAGTCCCCCTCCAGACGCCCCCTGACGCTCCCACCCTGGGCCCGAGGGTGCCCCAAGGCCGCTGGAGCTCTGGGGGTGGCGGGAGGGGGTCGGGGGGCCGAGGGGCGGCACGGCACGGCACGTACGTGTTTCTGGGTGACGTTGCGGACGTCCCCGACGTACATGATCTTGCCCTGGTGCCGCACCATGCCCACGGTGATGGAGTCCTCGCACACCTCGGAGGCGATGTACCTGTCCACCTGGATGCCCAGGTCCTTCAGCACCAGCAGGCCTGCGGGGAGCCACGGGGAGTGGGCCGTGCACGCACAGCGGGCCCCCCAGCCCCATCCCCTCCCGTCCCACCCCCAGGGCTGCCCACGGGAGCACCCCCAGACCCGGCACACCCACAGCCTGAGACCCCCGGCTCCCCCACCCCAGCCCCACGCAACCCCTGGGCGAGGTCCTGCAAGGGCCGGGGGGCCGGGGACCCCCACCCACCTGTGGCGATGCCATCGAAGAGCGACAGCACCCGGATGGGCTTCCTCTTCTCGGCGGGCACCGGCGGGTACACCTTGGGGGGGTCCTGGAGCCACAGGGACGGGGTCAGCGGGGAGGGGCTGGGGGTCGGTGGGGAGGAGCTGGGGGTCGGTGGGGAGGGGCTGGGGGTCGGTGGGGAGGGGCTGGGGGTCAGCGGGGAGGGGCTGGGGGTCGGTGGGGAGGGGCTGGGGGTCGGTGGGGAGGGGCTGGGGGTCGGTGGGGAGAGCTTGGGGGTCGGTGGGGAGGGACTGAGGGTTGGTGGGGAGAGCTGGGGGGTCATCAGGGAGGGGCTGGGGGTCGGTGGGGAGGGGCTGGGGGTCAGTGGGGAGAGCTGGGGGGTCATCAGGGAGGGGCTGGGGGTCGGTGGGGAGGGGCTGGGGGGGTCAGTGGAGAGGAGCTGGGGGTTGGTGGGGAGAGCTTAGGGGTCAGTTGGGAGAGCTTAGGGGTCAGCGGGGAAGGGCCGGGGGTCAGTGGGGAGAGGCTGGGGGTTGGGTTGGTGGGGAGAGCTTGGGGGTCAGTGGGGAGAGCTTGGGGGTCGGTGGGGAAGGGCCAGGGGTCGGTGGGGAGGGGCTGGGGGTTGGGTTGGTGGGGAGAGCTTGGGGGTCAGTGGGGAGAGCTTGGGGGTCAGTGGGGAGGGACTGGGGGTCAGCGGGGAGGGACTGGGGGCACTCACAAACTCCTGGTCGTGGTTGTTGGCGAAGAACATCTGGAGGCGGGAGGGCCAGTCCTCGCGCCGCCGCAGCAGCCCGTAGACGCCCTTGTGGCCGCACATGTAGCAGTTCCAGGGGTCCTCCTTGATGGCCGCCTGCGCCGCCCCCGGGCCCACCAGCAGGTCCACACACTCCACGCAGAAGCACCTGGCACAGGTGGCAGCCGGGCTCAGCCGTGGGGCAGGACTGGGGCATCACCAGAACCTCCCCAAAGCAGAGCTGGCATCACCCAAAACCCCACAGCAGGACTGTGGCATCACCAGAACCTCCCCAAAGCAGAGCTGGCATCATCCAAAACCCCACAGCAGGACTGTGGCATCACCAGAACCTCCCCAAAGCAGAGCTGGCATCATCCAAAACCCCACAGCAGGACTGTGGCATCACCAAACCCTCCCCAAAGCAGAGCTGGCATCATCCAAAACCCCACAGCAGGACTGTGGCATCACCAAATCCCCCCCAAAACAGAGCTGGCATCATCCAAAACCCCACGGCACGACTGTGGCATCACCAGAACCTCCCCAGCCCCAAAGCAGAGCTGGCATCACCCAAAACCCCACAGCAGGACTGTGGCATCACCAGAACCTCCCCAAAGCAGAGCTGGCATCATCCAAAACCTCACGGCAGGACTGTGGCATCACCAGAACCTCCCCAAAACAGAGCTGGCATCATCCAAAACCCCACGGCAGGACTGTGGCATCACCAGAACCTCCCCAGCCCCAAAGCAGAGCTGGCATCATCCAAAACCCCATGGCAGGACTGTGGCATCACCAAAAGCCTCAGTCCCACAGCAGCACTGGACCACTGCCAGGGCCTCCCCCAGCCCTAGAAGATCTCGTCACTGCCAAAACCTCCCAAGCCTGGACTGGCATCACCCGAAACCCCATGGCAGGACCATGCCATCTCCAGTCTGGGGCATTCCAAAACTTCCTCCAACCCCACAAACCAGCACCAAGGCACCACCAAAGCCTCCCAGTCTCAAAGCACAACTGGCATCACCCAGTCCCCGTGCCAGGACTGTGGCAGAACCAGGGCATTGCCAAAACCCCCACAGTCCCACACCTGGCCCAGAGCATTACCAAAATCTCCCAGCCCTACAGAGATTGTGGCATCATTAAAATACCCCAGCCCTAAACTAGGACGGGCATCAGCAACAGCCCACGGCAGGAATGTGGCACCATGAAAATCCTTCCAGTCTTGCACTGGGACAGCACAAACCCTCCCAGCCCCAAACCAGGACTGGCATCACTGAAATCCTACACCAGCACTGAAGCATCACCAGAACTTCCCATGCTGGGTCTGTGGCATCACCAAAACATTCCCAAACCCCACAGCAGGACCGGCAGCACCAATTTCCACAGGTCTGTGGCACTACCAGAACCTCTCTAGCTCCACATGAGGACTGGGGCATCACAAAATATCCCAGATTAGCACTGAAGCGAATAAATCTGGCCCAGGGAGTGGGTTTGAAATGCAGATTGAGCTGCAGAGGTTCAGCTCTGGGTGGAGCCCCAGCTTGAGCTGCTGAGCTTTGGAATAACAAAGAGGAGAGAGAGGAAGGGTGGCCCAGCTGGGTGAATGGACAGAGACAAGGTAACAAAGGGGATAAAGAGAGCTGCCTGCCAGCCAGGTGCGTGCACAGGAGCTGAGCACTCCGGGGGAACAGTGAGACTTGCAGAGGGGGACACTTCTTTAGCTGGGATCCCTCCTCAGAGGCACCAGCTCGGGCTGTGCTCGAATTTCTGTGCCAGAAATAAATGGCTTTGCTGAACGAGACATCTGAGACTGCCACAGGCAAGCTGGGCTGGAGCCAGTGGGGAAACAGGGTCTGACTTGGGGACAGTGACACCACCAGAACCTCCCTGGCACCTCCAGAACCTCCCTGGCACCTCCAGAACCTCCCTGGCACCACCACACCCACCTGCTCCCGTGCCACAGACCACAGCACTGCCAAAACATCCCAGCCCCAAACCACGACCAGCTGAACTCCTGTGCCAAGACCGGCATCGCCAAACCTTCTCAGCCCCTCACTGAGACTGGGACATCACCAGAGCTCCCCAGTCCCACACCAGGACTGGCAACACCAAACTCCCCCAGCCTCACTCCAGGCAGGAGTGGGGCCCCAGTGGAAGCTGCCTGGCTCCAGCCCAGCCCCGTGGCACCCCCGGCCCCGTGGCACCTGCAGCAGTTGTTGTTGCCACACATGAGGACCTCGCGGCCGCCGCAGCAGATGGTGCAGTAGGACTGGTAGCCGTCGTCGTCGTACTGGTAGGCGCACTCCAGGAAGCAGTTCTGGGGACAGCCGGGGTGTCACTGCGGGCCTGGGGACCCCGCCACGGGGCAGGGCACACGCTGTGAGCCCCCAGGCCGTGCCCCACGCCCTACCTTGCAGTTTTGGCACATCCCCCCGATGAACAGAGGGTGCTCCAGGGTCACGTTGAGGCTCCCGCAGGAGATGCAGATGTCTGGGGGAGAGGGGAGACATTGCCCTGGCACCCCAGCCATTGTCCTGACACCCCAACCATCGCCCTGGCACCCAGCCTGGTGTGGGGACACCGTGACCCATCGCCCTGGCACCCCAGCCTGGTGTGGGGACACCCCAACCATCGCCCTGGCACCCCAGCCTGGTGTGGGGACACCGTGACCCATTGCCCTGGCACCCCAGCACAGTGTGGGGACACCCCAGCCCAGCATGGGGACACCCCAACCATCGCCCTGGCACCCCAGCCCAGCGTGGGGACACCCCAACCATTGCCCTGGCACCCCAGCGCAGCGTGGGGACACCCCAACCATCGCCCTGGCACCCCACCCTGGTGTGGGGACACTGTGACCCATTGCCCTGGAACCCAGCCTGGTGTGGGGACACCGTGACCCTTCGCCCTGGCACCCACCCTGGTGTGGGGACACCCCAACCATTGCCCTGGCACCCCAGCCCAGCGTGGGGACACCCCAACCATCGCCCTGGCACCCCACCCTGGTGTGGGGACACTGTGACCCATTGCCCTGACACCCCAGCCCAGCATGGGGACACCCCAACCATCGCCCTGGCACCCACCCTGGTGTGGGGACACCGTGACCCTTCGCCCTGGCACCCACCCTGGTGTGGGGACACCCCAACCATCGCCCTGGCACCCCACCCTGGTGTGGGGACACTTTGACCCATTGCCCTGACACCCCGGGCCCTGTCCTGCAGTCCCCAGGACACACTCACCCCACACTGGGGTCACACCAGAGTTGGGGACCAACCCCAGGAGCAGCAGGCTGGAATCCCCCTGCCCTCCAGCCCCATCCCAGACCCCAACAGCCCCACCCCGGTGCCCTGGGGGTCCCTGCCACCACCCAGGGTGGGCCACTGCCACGTCAGAGCCGCTGTCCCTCTGCCAGCCAGGCTGAGGGGTGGGACAAGCCCCACAGCCCTGTGTGCCCCTGTGCCCTGGGATGCCCAGGCAGGCAGGGACAGCCCCAGCCTGTCCCCCAGCCCCGCACTCACCCTCGATGTTCCTGCACTTCTGCCGCACCTCGTACACCAGCCGCTCTGGGGGAACAGGGCGGTCAGGGGGGCGACCCAGCTGGGGGGCACAGGGAGGGACCCCGCCAGGGGGGACCTGGGGGAGAAGGGGGCCCGGCCTGGGGCAGCTCTTGTCCCCCCAAGGGAGGAGCGGTGGGCACGGGGCGTCCAGCCCCGGTACCCGCCCAGCCCCGGTCCCCGCGGGCACGGGGCCCCGCCCAGCCCCGGTCCCCGCCCAGCCCCGGTACCTGCCCCGGTACCCGCCCCGGTACCTCGGGTGCGCTCGTCGATGATCTCCTTGACCTTGGGCTTCTCCTGGGTTGTGCTTTTGCGGGGTTTTTTGGCGGGTGGGGGCGGTGCGTAGGCGGCTGCTTCGGGCTCGACCCACATCTCCGTGTAAACTTCTTTGTAGGGGTTCCGCTCCTCTGCGGGACCGGGGGGATCAGCGCTGCCATCAGCGGTGTCCCCCCGTCGGGTCACATCCCCCAGCTCGGTCCCAGCCCCCCGGGACCCCCCTGCCGGGCCCGTGTCCCCCCAAACCCCCGGGGAGCGTCCCCAGCCGCCGACCCCGCTGACCTTCGGGGGGCTCCAGCCCCTTGGGGCCCGAGGGCTGGAAGCCGCCCAGGGCCCACTCGATCATCTGCTTGTTCTGGATCTCCACCACCTTGGACGTGTCCGTCTCGTCGTTCTCGGGGCACGCGGGGAAGATCTTCCCGGCCCGGCTGCTGGCCACCTGTGGGGTGCAGGTGTCACCCACCCCACGGAGCGTCCCCCCATCCTCTGCCCCCCGGCTGCTCCTGCACTGCCCAGCCTCGGGGGCACCAACACCCACAAGAGACCCCCAGAGGCAGGATCCCTCCCAGGCTGGGACAGCCGACACCCAAAAGTCTCCTCAGAGCACACCACACTCATCCTTAGGGGGTTCCCCACACCCCCCTGCCCCTCAAGAGACCTCGGGGTGGGGCAGGAGGGGAGGCAGGGCCGGCTCCTGGCAGGGTGGAGAGGCAGCTGCTGCTTCCACAGAGGAGCCAGTGTCCCGGGCTGTCCCCTCAGATTGGCAGTGTCCCCTCCCCTGGCTCAGCGATGTCCCCCAGGGCTCAGCAGTGTCCCCCTGGGCTCGGCAGTGCCACCCCCAGGCTCAGCAGTGTCCCCAGGGCTCAGCAGTGTCACCTCCCCTGGCTCAGCAGTGTCCCCCAGGGCTCGGCAGTGTCACCTCCCCTGGCTCAGCAGTGTCCCCATCCCCTGGCTCGGCAGTGTCACCCCCAGGCTCAGAAGTGTCACCCCCATGGCTCAGTAGTGTCCCCCTGGGCTTGGCAGTGTCCCCAGAGCTCAGAGGTGTCCCTCACCTGCAGCACCTCGTAGATGGCCTTGCGGTACATGGGCTGCTTGTTGTAGGTGGCCTGGTGGAAGGCGCTGGCGAAGGAGCTCAGGGGCAGCAGCTTCTCCACACACACCTGGGGACGGGAGGCGGCCGTGGGGACACCGCGGGGTGCCCGCCGTGCCCGCGGCTCGGGGCCGTGCCCGCGGCTTGGGGCCGTGCCCGCGGCTCGGGGCCGTGCCCGCCCTTACCACCGAGAACTTGCCGTCGCCGAACCACATCACCCAGCGCGTGCCCTCGGCGGCGCGGCTGCGGCCGGTCATCCACCAGGACACGATGCGCCCGGGCCACCAGGAGAAGCCGCGCAGCTTGCCCCACACCAGCTCGCCGATGCCAAAGCCGCGCCCGTCCTGCGGGGAGCGCGGGGGGCTCGTCCCATCCCACCCCATCCCATCCCAATCCCATTCCCTGTCCTTGCCCCACCCTCATCGCTGTGTTTTTGTATCCTTATCTCCTCCCCATTCCATCCCATCCCCATCCCAACCCCACGGTCCCATCTCCATCCCCATCTCCACAGCTCGCTCAGGGCGGGGGGTCCCAGCCTAAGGGGTCCCAGCGTGGACATGAGAGGGACAGCGCCTACCCTGGATGTCCCTGTCCCCATGTCCGTGTCACTGCACTGACCCCACTGACCCTGGCTGTCCCTGTCCCCATGTCCCTGTCACTGCACTGACCCCGAGTGTCCCTGTATCCATGTCACTGAACTGATCTTGGGTGTCCCTGTCCCTGTCACTGCACTGACCCTGGCTGTCCCTGTCCCTGTGTCACTGCAATGACCCTGGGTGTCCCTGTCCCCATGTCCCCGTCACTGCACTGACCCTGAGTGTCCCTGTCCCTGAGTGTCTCTGTCCCTGTATCCATGTCACTGAACTGAGCCTGGGTGTCCCTGTCCCTGTGTCACTGCACTGTCCCCACTGACCCTGGCTGTCCCTGTCCCCATGTCCGTGTCACTGCACTGACCCCACTGACCATGGCTGTCCCTGTGTCACTGCACTGACCCCACTGACCCTGGCTGTCCCTGTCCCTGTGTCACTGCACTGTCCCCACTGACCCTGGCTGTCCCTGTCCCCGTGTCCGTGTCACTGCACTGTCCCCACTGACCCTGGCTGTCCCTGTCCCTGTGTCACTGCACTGAGCCCACTGACCCTGGCTGTCCCTGTCCCTGTGTCACTGCACTGTCCCCACTGACCCTGGCTGTCCCTGTCCCTGTGCCCAGGGCAGCAGGGTCGGTGTCCCCAGCAGGGACAGGGGGTGGGGAGTGTCCCCAGGGCGGGACAGGGCGGTGGGTGGCACAGAGGGGCCGAGCCCAGCAGCGGCCAGGACAGGGGACAGCTGTGAACGGCCCCTGGCCCAGCAGCCAGCTCTGCTCCCCAAAACCACGGCCCAGGGGTGCCCAGGACGGCCCTGGGGACCCTCACGGTGTGGGGAGGAACCTGCCGGTGCCCGGGGGCTCCGGGAGCGCGGGGGGCTCCGCACCGGGACCGGCCCCGCTCCTCACCTCGTACTCGGGCTCGTCGTCGGCCGACTTGGAGGCGTTCTTGTCGCCCGCCTCGGCCACGGCGGGCTCGGGCGTGGTGGCCACGCTGGGCGAGGCGGGGTCGGTGGGCTGCTGCGGCCCGGGCGGGGGGCTGGCCTCCTCCTCCTTCTGCGCCTCGGCCCGCGCCGGCTCCTCCACCACGTTCATCACGGCGATCACCTTGGCCTTCTTCTCCGCCTGCGGGGACACGGCACCGGGGCGTGGGGACAGGCACGGGTCCCGAGGACACGGCACCGACCCGTGGGGACACGGCACCGGGCCGCGGGGACACGGCACCGACCCGCGGGGACACGGCACCGGGGCGTGGGGACACGGCACCGGGGCGTGGGGACACGGCACCGGGGCATGGGGACACGGCACGGGCCAGGCCCGTGCCTCAGTTTCCCCCAGCTGACCCCCCTCCTGCCCCGGGATTCATCCCGGAGCCATGCCAGGATCTCCGCACTCATGCCTCAGTTTCCCCCAGCCGGCCCTCCCCTCCCGGTGTTTGTTTATCCCGGTGTTTATCCCGGTGTTTGTTTATCCCGGGATCTCCGCTCTCACGCCGTGACCCCCCGAGCGCATCCCGCTACTCTCTGTGCTCATCCCCGTCCATGCCACCGTGTCCGGGTCCCGCCGCTCGAGCCCCCCCGGATCTCCCCGCGCTGGTGCCGGTGCCGGTCCCGGTGCCGGTGCCGTACCCGCGGGGAGCGGCGGGCCCGGCCGGGGCGGAACGCGCGGAGCCGGAACGCGCGGAGCCGGCCGGGCCGGTGCGGGTCAGCCCGGCGGCCCTTTGTCTGGGCTCCGGGTCACGTGGTGCCGCCCGGCCCCGCTGGTTGGCTGCGGTGGGGCCGGGGGGGGGGGGGGGGGACCGGGCCGGACCGGAACCGCGGGGGAACCGACCGAGCGGGCCCGAGTGGAACCGAACAGAACCGAAACCACCCGAGCGCGATCGGCCCCACCGACAGGAGCCGAAGGGACCCGAGCGGCGCCCGGGCCGGGCCCGAACCGAACGGCGCGGAACCGACGGCACCGGGCAGAACCGAGCGGTTCGACACGAACCGAACGGAGCCCAGCGGAGCCCAGAAGAACGAACACAGCCGAGCGGCCTCCGGGACGGATCTCAGCGGTCCCGAGCAGAACCGAGCGGTTCCGAGCAGAACCGAACGGAGCCCAGCGGACTCCCGGCACGGAACCGAACGGAACCGCACGGAACCGAGCGTTCCGCTTGCCCGGTGTCCTGCCGGTCTGGCTCCAGTCCCGGTCCGTCCCGGTGCTGCTCAGCCCAGCCCGCCGTCCCGCCGGTGCCCCGGTCCCGGCCCGTCCCTCCCGGTACTCACGGGCCCGCGGCCGCGCTCCGCTCCGGTCCGTGCCGCGCCTGGCGCCGCGGGGCCGCTCCGCCGCCTTTTGTCCCGGGGCCGCGGCCCCGCGGCCTTTGTGCGGAGCGCCGGGACGGGGCGGGGGCGGCGGCGCCCCGGGGGCCTCGCCCCGCACGGCTGGAGCCGCCCCCGCCCCCCGCACCGGTGTGCCCGTGCCACCGGCTGGGGCCGGGCCGGCGGGATGGACCGGTGTGCGGGCACGGGGCCCGGTACCGACCCCGGTGTGCGGGTACACTGCCCGGTACCAACCCCAGTGTGCAGTCACAGTGCCCGGTACCGACCCCGGTGTGCGGGCACACTGCCCAGTACCGACCCCGGTGTGCGGGCACGGTGCCCGGTACCGACCCGGGTGTGCGGGCACGGGGCCCGGTACCGACCCCGGTCTGCGGGCACAGTGCCCGGTTCAACCCGGTACTGACCCCGGTGTGCGGGCACAGTGCCCGGTACCGACCCCGGTGTGCGGTCACACTGCCCGGTTCAGCCCGGTACCGACCCCGGTGTGCGGTCACTGTGCCCGGTACCGACCCTGGCCTGCGGGCACAGTGACCGGTTCCGACCCCGGTGTGCGGGCACAGTGCCCGGTACTGACAATGGTCTGCAGGCACACCGCCCAGTTCAGCCCAGTACAGTCACTGGTCTCAGCTCACACTGCCCAGTTCAGCCCAGTCCGGTCACTGGTGCGGGGCTGGCCCCAGCCCGCTGTCCCGGTTCGGCCCGGTACGGACGGGACACGCTCCCTGCACCCCAGGCCGGTCCCTGCCCCCGCCTGCCCTGCCAGCCCCGGTGTCCCGGTGTCCCCGGTGTCCCCGGCACCCCCCTGTGTGCCCCCGGGTGACAATGGGGTGACAGCAGGGACACCCCGCTTCCTCCAGCCCGGCTCGGGCTTTGGGGACACGGCTTGTTTGGGGACACGAGTGGCCCCGGGCCAAAGGACACGGGGTGGGTGACACCCCGAGTGTCCTGGGGCAGGGTCACAGCAGGACCTCGTGTCCCCCCCAGCCCCAGTGCTGGCCCCACCGCTCTGCCCGGGGGACAGGAAATGTCCCATCGCCGGTCGTTAAGGGACATCGTCTGGATATCCCCGCTGGACAATTGTCCCCAGCGATCCCTGCCCTGGGGCCACGGCAGCTCTGGCAGCTCTGGCAGCTCTGTCCACCCCCATCCCCATCCCCATTCCATCCTCATCCCATCCCCATTCCATCCCCGTCCCCAGTCCCCATCCCCGTCCCCATCCCCATCCCCATTCCATCCTCATCCCACCCCCATCCCCATCCCCATTCCCATCCCCATCCCCACCCCCATTCCATCCCCATCCCCGTCCCCATCCCCATCCCCATTCCATCCCCATCCCCATCCCACCCCCATCCCCATCCCCATCCCATCCCCATCCCACCCCCATCCCCATCCCCATTCCATCCTCATCCCATCCCCATCCCCATCCCCATCCCCATTCCCATCCCCATTCCCTGTCCTTGCCCCACCTCCACCCTCATCCCCATCTTTCTTGTATCCCCTCTCCATCCCATCCTCATCCCACCCTCATTCCATCCCCATCCCCATCCCATTCCCTCCTTCATCCCCATCCCATCCCATCCCATCCCAACCCCACGGTCCCATCTCCATCCCCATCTCCACAGCCGGCACAGGGTGGGGGGTCCCAGTGTGGACATGAGAGTGACAGCGCCTGCCCTGGCTGTCCCTGTCCCTGTCCCTGTGTCACTGCACTGACCCCACTGACCCTGGCTGTCCCTGTCCCTGTGTCACTGCACTGTCCCCACTGACCCTGGCTGTCCCTGTCCCCATGTCCGTGTCACTGCACTGTCCCCACTGACCCTGGCTGTCCCTCTCCCCATGTCCGTGTCACTGCACTGACCCCACTGACCCTGGCTGTCCCTGTCCCTGTGTCACTGCACTGACCCCACTGACCCTGGCTGTCCCTGTCCCTGTATCTGTGTCACTGCACTGTCCCCACTGACCCTGGCTGTCCCTGTCCCTGTGTCACTGCACTGACCCCACTGACCCTGGCTGTCCCTGTCCCTGTGTCACTGCACTGACCCCACTGACCCTGGCTGTCCCTGTCCCTGTGTCACTGCACTGTCCCCACTGCCCCTGGCTGTCCCTGTCCCAGCCCAGCTGCCCCCTCAGAGGCTGAGGGCTGAGGAAGAGGAGGGCAGGCCGGCGGGGCTGGGCTGTCCCTGTGCCCAGGGTGGCAGGGTCGGTGACCCCAGCACAGACAGAGGGTGGGGAGTGTCCCCAGGGCGGGACAGGGCGGTGGGTGGCACAGAGGGGCCGAGCCCAGCAGCGGCCAGGGCAGGGGACAGCTGTGAACGGCCCCTGGGCCAGCAGCCAGCTCTGCTCCCCAAAACCACGGCCCAGGAGTGCCCAGGACGGCCCTGGGGACCCTCACGGTGTGGGGAGCCCCGCCGGGAGGAACCTGCCGGTGCCCGGGGGCTCCAGGCTGCTGAGATGGGGCAGGACAGGGGGGCTGTGGGACCCCGGGGCACCCACAGAGTCCCTGTCCCTGCTGTCCCGTGCCCATGCCAGGCTCCTCACATGCCGGTTCCCCGGGAAACCGGCAGGAACGGCGGCACATCCCGCGGGAGAAGGGCGGCCCAGGGGCACAGGGGCACAGGGACACGGAGCCCTGGGGCCTGGCTCAGGTGCCACCAGCAGCACAGAGCAGCGTTCCACCAGCCCCACGCACGGCCACGCCGGTACAGTCACAGTGACTGTACAGTCACCCGAGCCCCGAGTGCACCGACTGTCCCCCGAGTGCACCGACTGTCCCCCAAGCACACCGACCATCCTCCGAGTGCCCGGGCCGGGCTCTGAGCTGCCGGTGCCGCGGCAGCCTCGGGGCTCGGTGCCACGCGGTGCCCACCCCGCCGCGGCTGGCGCCCTCACCTCCCGCTTCCAGCGTGCCAGCCACTCGTCCCGCTTCCTCTTGCTGATGTAGTAGGGGTCCCCGGCCTGGAAGGTGTGCCGCTGCATGGGCCGCTGCCGCAGGCTCGACTCCCAGCCCAGCCCGCCGCGGAGCCGCCCGCGCGAGCCCTGCCAGGAGAGACGTGGGGTCAGGGACACGCCACACGGCCGTGGGGACGGCACAGGGCACGGCAGAGCTGCCCGGGGGTGCGTGGGGAGACGGGCAAGGGGGGCACTGCCAGCCTGGGTTCACGTGGGCACCAGGAGCTGGCGGGCAGGGGTTGGAACTGGGGAGAAGTTCTTCCCTGTGGGGCAGCAATGCCCTGGCACAGGGTGCCCAGAGGCGCTGTGGCTGCCCCTGGACATGGCTTGGAGCAGCTTGGTCTAGTGGAAGGTGTCCCTGCCCATGGATGAACCCCGAGGTCCCTTCCAGCCCAAACCAGCCATGGCATCAGAGCACACCCAGCTGCACCTTGGTGGGCACCCCCGGCACGCCCAGGCACGGATCTGCCCCAGAGCAGAACCAACACGCTGTGCCCAGAGCACGGGGGGAATGAGGGGAGGTGAGGGCTCAGCCTGGGCAGGCGCCATCCCCCGCAGGGCTGGAGGGGGTCACTGTCACTGACCCGGCACATCCTGGTGCCCCATGGCTCCCAGCACAGCAGCACGTGCTGCCTGCTGCCTGCCTGTGGCGTGGCGTGGGAGCCCAGGACCCCCATCCTGTGGGGACGTGGGCCCTGCTGCTCCCCCACGGCCACCAGTGCCCAGGGAGAGGGAGAGATGGTGCCTGTGGGCACGAGGGGGCCGTGGGGGGCTGTGGGGCCGTGCCCGTTTCCTGGGGTGTGCCGTGTCCATCTCCCAGGGTGGCTGTGGGGCTGTGCCCATCTCCCAGGGTGGCTGTGGGGCTGTGCCCATCTCCTGGGGTGGCTGTGGGGCTGTGCCCATGTCCTGGGGTGGCTGTGGGGCTGTTTCCATCTCCTGGGGAGTGCTGTGCCCATCTCCCAGGGTGGCTGTGGGGCTGTTCCTATCTCCTGGGGTGGCTGTGGGGCTGTTCCTATCTCCTGGGGAATGCTGTGCCCATCTCCTGGGGTGGCTGTGGGGCTGTTCCCATCTCCTGGGATGGGCTGTTCCCATCTCCTGGGCTGTGCTGTGCCCATCTCCCAGGCACAGCCTTGCAGGATCCAGCCCCAGGCCGTACTTGCCTCCATTTTCAGGGTGTCGAAGTTGTTTTCCTCCTTCTCGTCCTTGCCTGCAGACGGAACAGAGAGCGGCCGTCAGCCGGCGTGGGCGCGGGACGGTGGGGCCCACGCGGAACCCACGGGGGAGACGGGGCCCACCCGGGATTCCATAGGGAAGACGGGGGTCCCGCAGCCCGTCCGGAGCCCCCCAGCCCGTCCGAAGCCCCCCAGCCCGCCCGGTGCCCACCCGGTGCCGGTCCCGGGCGCTCCCGGGTGGGCGCTGCTCCCGGGTGGGCGCAGCCGCCGCTCGTGGCCCGGCCGGGTTTGGGGGTCCGGGGCAGTGACCCCCCCAGGGGCGGGGGAAGCGGCGCAGCCCCGCTGCTTCCTGTGCTCTCGGCACATCCGCGCCGCAGCTCTGCCGAGGCGCTGCCAGGAAAGCGGCTAAAAATAACCCCGCGGCTTTGGGGCCGAGAAGCGCCGGGGCAGCGCGGCGGCCGGGGCAGCGGGGCGCTGCTGGGTGCACGGGGGGCTCCTGCCAGAGCCTGGCACCCCTCAGCACTGGCTGCAGCCTGGCACAGACCCTGGGGTGGCCCCGGCCCCGTGGGACACCAGGATGGCACCCAGCAGTCGGCACACGGGGATCCCTGAGGAGGAGAGCAGCCCGAGCTCTGCTCTGAGAGCCGGGGGACACCAGGGGACATGGGGGAACAAGGGGGGGACGTGGCAGGACAGTGTGGCACGCTGCAGGACACTGGGACACCGGGGAGCAGAGTGTGCCCAGGCACCCCATCCTCATCCGCAGGGATCTCAGCGGGGAAACTGAGGCACGGGAGAGGGGGCCTGGCCTGGTCTCCTGTTCTGAGATGCTGGTCCCCTCTGTCACCGGGACTGGTGAGGCTGGTCCCCTCTGTCACCGGGACTGGTGAGACCGGTCCCCTCTGTCAGCGGGACTGGTGAGACCGGTCCCCTCTGTCACCGGGACTGGTGAGACTGGTCCCCTCTGTCACCGGGACTGGTGAGGCTGGGGGGCACCGACTGAAGCGGGGATTTCCCGTGGCTCATCCCAGGCGTGGGATCCCGGTGAGCCCCGGGGAGGGTCCGGCAGGAGCCGAGCCCGGGGCTGGAAGCTGCCGGTGACCCCGGCGCTGGAAATGCCTCCGTGCGGGAGGGATGGAGGGATGCAGGGATGCAGGAGCTGCCCCGGGCCCCTGGGACAGCACACCCGGCCGTCCCCGCAGCCACAGCGGGGTCCGGCCGCCTCGGGCTGCCCGGGGCTCCCGGCGCTCCCCGCTGCCCCCGCCGGGTCCGGGTCCGGCCGCCTCGGGCTGCCCGGGCCCCCCGGTGCTCCCCGCTGCCCCCGCCGGGTCCGGGTCCGGCCGCCTCGGGCTGCCCGGGCCCCCCGGTGCTCCCCGCTGCCCCCGCCGGGTCCGGGTCCGGCCGCCTCGGGCTGCCCGGGCCCCCGGTGCTCCCCGCTGCCCCCGCCGCGGCTGCTGCTCCCGCGGCTGCGCCTCGTGACTGCGGCAGCGGCTGCAGCGTGCGGCTCATGCATGCATGCATGCATCCCACCGTGCCCGCCTCTGCCTCTGCCAGCCCCGTCCCTGCCTCTGCCTCTGCCTCTGCCAGATCCATCCCTGCCTCTGCCAGCTCCGTCCCTGCCTCTGCCTCTGCCAGATCCATCCCTGCCTCTGCCAGCTCCGTCCCTGCCTCTGCCTCTGCCAGATCCATCCCTGCCTCTGCCAGCTCTGCCCCTGCCTGCCCCAGTCACCCCTGCCTCTGACAGATCCATCCCAGCCTCTGCCTGCTCAATTCCTGCCTCTGCCAGGCCTGTCCCTGCCTCTGCCTGTTCCGTCCCTGCCTCTGCCAGATCCATCCCTGCCTCTGCCAGATCTGCCCCTGCCTGCCCCAGCCACCCCTGCCTGCCCCAGTCACCCCTACCTCTGCCAGCCCCATCCCTGCCTCTGCCTGTTCCATCCCTGCCTCTTCCAGCCCCGTCCTTGCCTCTGCCTCTGCCTGCCCCAGTCACCCCTGCCTCTGCCTGTTCCATCCCAGCCTCTGCCAGCTCCATCCCAGCTCCCCTGTCCATCCATCCCTCCCTGCTCAGCACTGCCTCGGCCGCTCAGTCTCTGTGATGACTCCGGTCAGGAAGGCCCAAGAGCCAGAGCTGGGAAGGCTGAGAAGCTGTCCCGGGGTCCAGAGGGGCCATCCGGGGTCCAGAGGGACCATTTGGGGTCCAGAGGGACCATCCGGGGTCCAGCCTGTGCTGTGGCCTCCGCTCCTGTCCCCGGGCACCCCAGGAGTGCTGGGCTCACCCGGGCTGGGCTCACCCGCGCTGGGCTCACCCGGGCTGGACTCGCTGGCCCCTTGCCCTGCCTGCCTCCCGAGGCCAGCGGCTCCTGGGCACTGTGGCCCCCACGCCCCCAGCACGGGCACAGGTGCCAGGGAGGTGGCACAGGTGCCAGGGAGGTGGCACAGGTGCCAGGGAGGTGGCACAGGTGCCAGGGAGGTGGCACAGGCGGACAGGGGAGTGCTGGCACCACGGGGCACCGAGCACAAGGAGCCCAACCCCTGTTCCTGCTGGCAGGAAAGGCGATGATGGGGGACGGCATGAGCACGTGGGAACTGCGCCCCCACCCCAAATCCCACGTGGCAGAGAGGGGCTCAGCCCTTCCTCCTCCTCCTCCTCCTCCTCCTCCTCTTCCTCCTCCTGTGCCAGCGCTGCCCAACCCAGAACCCTCATGGAGCAGGACAGCAGCGCTGGGGGCCCCTGGGGTTCAGGGGTCACTGGGGACCGGGGGTCCCTGGGGGCTGGGGGTCCAGAGCTGGGGGTCTCTGGGGGCTCAGGGGTCACTGGGGATCAGGGGTCCCTGGGGGCTGGGGGTCTCTGGGGGTCAGGGGTCACTGGGGATCAGGGGTCACTGGGGTTCAGGGGTCCCTGGGGTTCAGGGGTCACTTTGGATCAGGGGTCCCTAGGGGGGTCAGGGGTCCCTGGGGTTCATGGGTCCCTGGGGGTCAGGGGTCCCTGGGGTTCAGGGGTCTCTGGGGGGTCGGGGTCACTGGGGTTCAGGGGTCACTGGAGATCAGGGAGTCTCTGGGGGATCAGGGGTCCCTGGGGTTCAGGGGTCTCTGGGGGTCCCTGGGGGTCCCTGGAGCGGGGAGCCCCCAGGGCTGACTCTTACTTTTCTCTGTGGCCTCCAGGAGTTTCCTCCTGCCGCGTTTCTTCTGGGGGTCGGACGGGGCCAGCTCGCCCTCCTCTCCCGGGGCGTCCAGGCCCTCCTTGGGGGTGCAGCGGCCGTTCTCCAGCGCCCGGCCGCTCTCCCCGTCCGCCAGGCTCTCGGTCTCGTCCTCCTCGGGCCGGCCGCCCTTGGGGCTGGCCGCGGCCTCCTCCGCGTCCCCCTCCACGTCCCCGTTGGGCAGCGGCTCGGCGGGACTGGCCTCCGGGCAGGGCGGGGGGCACTTGGGGACGGCCGCGCTGTCCTTGGGGGTGTCGCTGCTCTCCGCCTGCTGCCGGGAGGGGAAGGGCTGCGGTCGGTGCTGGCAGCGGGGACAGCGGCGTGTCACCCCCGAAAGTGCCGCTGCCACCTCCTGCAGCCCGCGTGTGACAGCTGCTGCTGTGCCAGGGGACCCTCGGGACCGGGACACCCCGCGTGTGACAGCTGCTGCTGTGCCAGGGGACCCTCGGGACCGGGACACGGTGTGACAGCGGCCTCAGGGCCAGGACACACCAATGTGACACCCTTGGGACCAGGACACGGTGTGACAGCGGCCTCAGGGCCAGGACACACGGATGTGACACCCTTGGGACCAGCACACGCTGCTGTGTCACCCTGACACTCTACTGTGGCACTCGGGACCAGAACACACAGGTGTGTGTGACATCCTCACCCACCAAGACACACGGACATGACACCCTTGGGACCAGGACATGCCGCTGTGTCACCCTGACACTCCACTGTGGCACTTGGGACCAGAACACACAGGTCTGTGTGACATCCTCACCCACCAGGACACATTTCCATGGCCTCAGGACCAGGACACTACAGCAACACCCTCAGACCACGACACAATGTCACCACACCCTCAGGACCAGAGTGACACCTGAGCACAGGGTGACACCTGGGCACAGGTCCTAAACTAGGACAGGTCCCAAACCAGGAAAGTCCCAGACCAGGACAGTCCCAAACCAGGACAGTCCCACACCAGGGTTCAGGGGGGCTGTGGGGTTTGGGGGGCTGTGGGGCTCAGGGGGGCTGTGGGATTTGGGGGCTGTGCGGCTCAGGGGGCTGTGGGGCTCAGGGGGGCTGTGGGGCTCAGGGGGGCTGTGGGGCTCAGGGGGCTGTGGGGTGTGGGACACTCGGGGCTGTGGGGTTTGGGGGGCTGTGGGGTGTGGGACACTCGGGGCTGTGGGATTTGGGGGCTGTGGGGCTCAGGGGGGCTGTGGGGTTTGGGGGGGCTGTGGGGTTTGGGGGGCTGTGGGGCTCAGGGGTGCTGTGGGGTTTGGGGGGGCTGTGGGGTTTAGGGGCTGTGGGATTTGGGGGGCTGTGGGATCTGGGGGCTGTGGGATTTGGGGTCTGTGGGATTTGGGGTCTGTGGGGTTCAGGGGGCTGTGGGGCTCAGGGGGCTGTGGGGCTCAGCCCAGCCCCGCGCTGGGACAGACCCTGGGGCTCGGGCGGCGTGGGGTGCCGGGCACTCGTGGCACCCCAGCCTGTCCCCGTGCCCCTCCCCATCCCTGTCCCTGCCAAGGGCCGCGCCGGAGCCTTCCTGCCCACCCACCCAGGCCTGGCACAGCCTGGCACAGCCTGGTACAGCCTGGCACAGCCTGGCACAGCTCACCCACACCGTGACACCCGTCCCACAGGGCTGTGCCCACCCAGCCTCCTGCCAGCTCCCCCGCTCACACCGTGCCCAGGCCCCCTCTGCCACACGCCTGCCCACCAGGGCCCTGGGCATGGGTGCTGGAGAGCCCTGGCCGTGCCCACGGGGCCAGCCTGGTGCCCGTGGCGTGTGCCAGCTCCCCTCAGCCTGCTCCGGTGCCCCTGGCACGGCGGGCTCTCCTCAGGGACGGTATTTTTAGTAGCTCACGTCCACAGGGGCTTCCCTGGCAGTGCCCGGGGCTGGCCATGACAGCTCTGCTCTCTCGGCACTGGGCGCTGCTGGCCAAAGGGCCAGCTCTGAAACCAGCTCTGGCACCAGAACCATCTCCAGCACCGGCACCAGCTCTGGCTCCAGCTCTGGCACCAGCACAGGAGGAGGCCTTTGGGCTGCCAGAAAACCTTTCCAGAAGGGATTTGTGACCTCCTAAGGGTGAAGGTGCCTCAGCTCTGTTTGTCCCCCCGGCTCTGCTCATTCCCTGCCCCACTCATCGTCCTGGGCCTGTTTGTCACCCCTCTGTCCCCTCCTGTGGGATGGGGACTGGGGACACCGTCCGAGCCTGGAGACCAAGGGCACCTTCCCCCTTCAGGATCAGAGGAACCTGCTCCTCCAGCCACCCCGAATTTGTGGCAGCAGCCAGGTGCCACCTGGCCACCCTGCAAGGAGGTGGCTCCCTAGGGGCACTGGGACACAGCATGGCCGGGAAGGGACAAACCATGAGTGTCCCCAGCCCCGGGGCCCTGTCCCAGCACAGCACCCGTGACTCCCGGCGGGCATGGTACCCCGGAGTGCTGGGTGGGCACGGCCGTGGGCAGGAGCCAGGGGGCCCTCAGAGCTCGGGGGATCTGCCCCCCAGGCCCAGCAGCCCCAGGGAGGGGACTGGGCTCCCAGCCACGGGGCAGGGAGGGAATGCACGGTGGGGCCTCGAGCAGAGCCACACGGAGCGCGACGGTGCCACCGGGCACGGGAGGGCTCAGAGGGCCAGGAGGGGAGGGACAGCCCCACCGACTGCTCCCGGGGGCACACAGGGCAGCCAGGCCAGCCCGTGGCACAGCAGGAGCTCTGCCACCAGAGCCGGACAGCCCCGTGGGGACACCCACTGCCCCCAGCCTGGCCCTGGAGCCGAGATCTGCCACCAGAGCCGGACAGCCCCATGGGGACACCCACCGCCCCACCTGCCCCCAGCTCACCTGGGCATGCTTGCGCTTCCTCCCGGGCCGCCCGGCTTTCCTCATGGGCGTCCCCGGCTCCTGCTTCTCCTCCTTGCTCGGGGTCTCCTCGGGCTCCTCTTCCCCCTGCGAGCCGGACACACACGGGATGGTCACGCTGCTGGCAGCCGGGGCCGGGCACGGCTCCGCTCCCGGTGGGAGCATGGTGGCACGGCCGGGCCAGCAGCACCAGGACACCGAGAAGGGCGGCAGTGGCTGCTGCCACTCTCGGGCTGTGGCACAGGCCCGGGTGACCCCCACGGCTGGCTCAGGACACGCGCCCACCGCTGCCACCCACCAGATGTGGACGCCTCATGGCTCGGGCCTTCAGCAGCCGCGCGGCTCCCTGGGGACGAGGCCAGCAGCGGCCGGGTACCCTCAGGGCGGGCACTGCCCGTTTTGGGGACCCCGCCGTGCCCAGGAGCAGCTGGCAGCGCCCCGTGCCCCGTCCCGGTGCCACGGCCCAGCCCCGGTGCGGGCAGCACGCATGTGCCAGCATGGCGGCGGCTCCGGGAAATGAACCTGCGCCCATGCCGGGGCCCTGTCCCCGCTCGGGGGTCCTGTCCCCGCTCGGGGGCCCTGTCCCTGCTCGGGGCTCCTGTCCCCGCTCGGGGCTCCTGTCCCCACTCGGGGGTCCTGTCCCTGCTCGGGGGTCGCGGCACCGCGGGGCACACGGTGGGCACGGCGCGGGGTCGGCTTCACCTGAGCCGCAGAAGATCCCGGCGCAGCAGCCAGGCAGGAAGAGGCCGCGGAGGGGGAGCGGGGAAGGAGGAGAGGCCGGTGGGGGGCTGGCGAGGGAGAGGCCAGGGAGGGGACGGGGCTGGCAGCCAGACAGCGCCGGCATCCAGCTGCAGCCACAGCCCTGCCCGCGCCCCCCGAGCCGCAGCTGAACGTCCCCCGGGTCGGCACCGAGATCCCACGGCGCTGGGACACGCTGCGTCCCACCGTGGCCGTGGTGGCCTGGCCGTGGTCCCCAAACCAGCTCCCTCTGTGCCACCCGCCCCACGCTCGGCTGCATGCCCTGCGCCCGCTGCTGCCCCGTCTCTCCTGCCACGGGAGCCACGTGTAGGTCTGTCCCCAGGCCCATGGTGTCCCTCCAGAGCTGTGCTTGTCCCAAACCCACTCGCCTGCTTGTGGGGCTGGGCAGCCTCCAGCCCCCTGCACACACCCCCCAGCCCTACAAGGACCCCCCAGCCCTGTGCAGGGACCCCCCAGCCCTGGCACCTGCTGGCATCACACCACAGCACGCAGGGGCTCTGCCAGGGCCGGGCCCCGCTCCCCATGGCATCCTGCTGGAGCGTTTTGGGACAGGTCCAAGGATGACGTCAGGATCCCAGATCCAGCACCACCATCCTGGTGCAGAAGTCCCTGAGCGGGGTTCTGGGGGTCCCTGCCCCACAGGCTCCCTGTGCCTGGCTGTGCTGCAAAGCCAGGGCAGCACCACGGAGCCCAGGGGTGCAGGCCAGCCCCAAGGAGACCCTGGCACCTGTCCCTTTGCCCCAGTGCTGCCCTGGCACCTGTCCCTTTGCCCCCGTGCTGCCCTGGCACCTGTCCCTTTGCCCCCGTGCTACCCTGGCACCTGTCCCTTTGCCCCAGTGCCACCCTGGCACCTGTCCCTTTGCCCCCGTGCTGCCCTGGCACCTGTCCCTTTGCCCCAGTGCTGCCCTGGCACCTGTGCCTTTGCCCCAGTGCTGCCCTGGGACCTGTCCCTTTGCCCCAGTGCTGCCCTGGCACCTGTCCCTTTGCCCCAGTGCTACCCTGGCACCTGTCCCTTTGCCCCCGTGCTGCCCTGGCACCTGTCCCTTTGCCCCAGTGCCACCCTGGCACCTGTCCCTTTGCCCCAGTGCCACCCTGGCACCTGTCCCTTTGCCCCCGTGCTGCCCTGGCACCTGTCCCTTTGCCCCAGTGCTGCCCTGGCACCTGTGCCTTTGCCCCAGTGCTGCCCTGGGACCTGTCCCTTTGCCCCAGTGCTGCCCTGGCACCTGTCCCTTTGCCCCAGTGCTACCCTGGCACCTGTCCCTTTGCCCCCGTGCTGCCCTGGCACCTGTCCCTTTGCCCCAGTGCCACCCTGGCACCTGCCCCTTTGCCCCAGTGCCACCCTGGCTCCTGGCACAGCCCCAGTGCCACCCTGGCTCCTGGCACAGCCCCAGTGCTGCCCTGGCTGCTGGCACAGCCCCAGCCAGTTGTCCCTTGCCACAGTTCAGAGCGTCCAGGTCCTGGCAGCATTTAGTAGGTGCACATGAAAGATTTGGGGGTGCCATGTGCACTATGACGCCACAGCCAGGAGGGGATGCAGCTGGGGAGTGCCCAGTGGGTGCCAGCGAGGCCAGGGGGACTGCAGGGTGAGAAGCTGGGGGGACAGAGCTGGCTCGGGGGCTGCCACGGTGGGGGGACAGCAGGGTCCCTGCTGTGGGACGAGAGATGCTCCCACACCTGCCAGGACAGGAACCCTCCCGGGGGCACGGCAGCACCCCAAAAGCAGGGCAGGCGTGGGGGTACAGCCGGGCAGCAGCAGGCTGGCAGAGGGCTCCGGGGGTCTCTGCCCCCCGGGCCGGCAGCGGGGCCGGTACCGCAGCCCCCGCAGCCCGCACCCCGCCGGGAGCGGCGTCACCGGCATCCGTCACCCCGGAGCGCGGGGCTCGGGCACGTCCCCGGTGCCGCTCCGGCACGTCCCCGGTGCCAAGCAACGGCCCGGGGGGACGGCGGTGAGCCGCGGCGTGACGCAGAGCCGGCCCCGCTCCGCCGCCCCGGGGCCGCCCCGGTGCGGAGACGTGCCCGGCGGGCAGCGGGGCGGGGAGCCGCCGGCACCGGGAGCGGCTTCGCCACCGGCCCCGCGGGCAGCGGCCGCCCCGGCACCGTGACCCCGGCGCGTGGCCGCGGGGGAGGCGACGCCGCATCCCGCGGGGTCAGCCCGGGACAGCGCCCGGCCGAGCGCCGCTGCCAGCGCGGGGGCACTGCCCGGCACGGTCTGCTCCCGGGGGTACCGGGAGAACCGGGAGTACCGGGAGTACCGGACACTGCCCGGTCCAGTCTGCTCCCGGGAGTGCCGGGAGTACCGGGATTACCGGGAGTACCGGGCTGCAGCGGGCACTGCCCGGCCCGGTCTGCTCCCGGGGGTACCGGGGGTACCGGGAGTACCGGGCACTGCCCAGCCCAGCCCTCTCCCGGGAGTACCGGGAGTACCGGGCTGCACCGGGAGTACCGGGCACTGCCCGGCCCGGCCCGCTCCCGGGAGTACCGGGAGTACCGGGAGTACCGGGAGTACCGGGCTGCACCGGGAGTACCGGGCACTGCCCGGCCCAGCCCACTCCCGGGAGTACCGGGAGAACCAGGAGTACTGGGAGTACCGGGCTGCAGCGGGCACTGCCCGGCCCGGCCCGCTCCCGGGAGTTCCGGGAGTTCCGGGATTACCGGGCACTGCCCCGGCTCTGCCCTGCGCACCCCCAGAACCGCCCCAAAGCACGGGGGCTGCACACCCACCCCGCTCCTGGCTCCTGCTGGAAACGCTGCCGGGCCAGACCGACCCGCCCCGGGTATCCGTGCCCCAGCTGGGCCAGGAACGTGCCAGGCACATCCCGGGGGGCACACGGGCACATCCCAGTGGATACACGGGCACATCCCGGGGGGCACACGGCCACATCCCAATGGACACACGGGCACATCCCAATGGACACACGGGCACATCCCAGCGGACACACGGACACATCCCAATGGACAAACGGGCACATCCCAATGGACACACGGGCACATCCCAATGGACACACGGGCACATCCCAATGGACACACGGGCACATCCCAATGGACACACGGGCACATCCCAATGGACACACGGACACATCCCAGTGGGCACACGGGCACATCCCAGGGGGCACACGGGCACATCCCAATGGACACATGGGCACATCCCAATGGATACACGGGCACATCCCGGGGGGCACACGGGCACATCCCAGGGGACACACGGGCACATCCCGGGGGGCACACGGGCACATCCCAATGGACACACGGCCACATCCCAGGGGACACACGGCCACATCCCAGGGGGCACACGGGCACATCCCGGGGGGCACACGGGCACATCCCAATGGACACACGGGCACATCCCAGTGGGCACACAGCCACATCCCAGCGGACACACCGTCTGGGACCTCCATCCACCGGAGCAATGGCCGGAGGACAGGGCACTGACGGGCGAGGGCAGTGTGACCAGCCGGCCAGCAGGACCCGGAATGACCCCGAGCTGGCAGTGCCCGCAGCAGGGCGGTGTCCAGCTGGCCACAGCCCCGGTGCCCACGCCTTGAGCAGCCCTGCCCTGCGCTGCCGGACACTCCGCCCCACAGGAGGGCAAAGCTTTGCCAGCCCTGGCACTGGGAGCGGCCCCCCGGCCCAGCGTGTGCATGGCTGGGGTGTCCCCCCGAGCCTGGTGGCACACGTGGAGGGGGTGCAGGGACCCCCGAACAGGCGGGACCCCCCGAGGGGGAGCAGGGCTGGCACGAGGTTACAGACCCAGCACAGGGCATGAACCAGCACAGAGCATGAACCAGCACAGCTCCAGGGCCAGGACATGCCCATCCTGGGGGACACCCCTCCTGGGGACACCCCATCCTGAGGGACACCCCTCCTGGAGGACACCCCCTCCTGGGGACACCCCCTCCTGGGGGACACCCCTCCTGGGGACACCCCCTCCTGGGGGACACCCCATCCTGGGGGACACCCCTCCTGGGGGCACCCCATCCTGGGGGACACCCCTCCTGGGGAACACCCCCTCCTGGGGAACACCCCATCCTGGGGGACACCCCCTCCTGGGGACACCCCCTTCTGGGGACACCCTATCCTGGGGGACACGCCCTCCTGGGGACACCCCATCCTGGGGGACACCCCCTCCTGGGGACACCCCCTCCTGGGGGACACCCCCTCCTGGGGGCGCCCCCTCCTGGGGACACCCCATCCTGGGGGACACCCCTCCTGGGGGACACCCCATCCTGGGGGACACCCCCTCCTGGGGACACCCCATCCTGGGGGACACCCCTCCTGGGGGACACCCCCTCCTGGGGACACCCCCTCCTGGGGACACCGCCACCCTGCCGGCAGCCGGGAGGTGACAGCAGGTCAGTGTCCCCGGCCACTCCCCGGCGCCGGGAATAGCTCAATCCGCGCTAATCCCACCGCGCCGCCCGTTCCGCCGCCCGTTCCGCCGCCCGTTCCGGGCAGCACCGGGGCCGGTGCCGGTGCCGGTGCCGTACCTTGTGCGTGTCCAGCGCCTCGCGGCTGGGCGCGGGGCTGCCGGCCTCCAGGCTCCCTCCGGACGGCATGGTGGGGCCGGCCGGCCGCTTCAGCACCCGAGCGGAGCCCGCCGCGCCCGGGAGGGGTCCGGGAGCCGTCCCCCGCCGCTGCCGGGATCCTCCTGGCCCTGCGGGAAGCGAGACGGACGGACTCAGGGGGTGCTCCCGCCCCGCCGCCCCCGGCCCGGCCCGGCCCCGGCCCCGGCAATTATTAACGTGCCACAGCCTTGACTCGCCGGGCCGGGCTCTGCCCGACATCGCCCCGCCGGTGCCCGAGCCCCGGCCCGCCCCAGCCCCGGCCCCGGGGCACGGGGAGCACGGTGGGGGTGAGGGGTAAGGGATGAGGGGTGCACGGTGTGGGTGAAGGGTGGGAGATGAGGGGTGCATGGTGTGGGTGAGGGGTGCACGGTGTGGGTGAGGGGTAAGGGATGAGGGGTGCACAGTGTGGGGTGCAGTGTCAGTGCAGGGTGTGGGGTAAGGGGTGCACAGCATGGGGTTCAGCGTGTGGAGCACAGGGGGCACGGTGTGAGGTGTGGGGAGCCCACAGGAGTGCAGTTGTGGGGCACAGAGTCCATGGCATGGGTGCAGTTGTAGGGCACAGTGTCCATGGCATGGGGTGCAGCTGTAGGGCACAGTGTCCATGCTGTGGGGCACAGGGTGTAGGGCACAGTGTCCATGGCATGGGTGCAGTTGTAGGGCACAGTGTCCATGGCATGGGTGCAGTTGTAGGGCACAGTGTCCATGGCATGGGGTGCAGCTGTAGGGTACAGAGTCCATGGCATGGGTGCAGCTGTAGGGCACAGTGTCCATGGCACAGGGTGTGGGCACAGTGTCCATGCTGTGGGGTGCAGGGTGTGGGTACAGTGTCCATGCTGGGGGGCACAGAGTCCATGGCATGGGTGCAGTTGTAGGGCACAGTGTCCATACTGTGGGGCACAGGGTGTGGGCACAGTGTCCATGCTGTGGGGCACAGGGTGTGGGTACAGTGTCCATGCTGTGGGGCGCAGGGTGTGGGCACAGTGTCCATGCTGTGGGATGCAGTTGTAGGGCACAGTGTCCATGCTGTGGGGCACAGGGCGTGGGGCACAGGGCACACAGCACAGGGCACAGGGTGATGGGTGCACGGTGCGGTGTGGGGCACCCAGCACAGGACGCTCAGTGTGGGGTGTCCTTTGCAGAGCACGGGGTGCCCAGTCCCTGTTTGGGGGTGCATTGTGCACCTTGTGAGGCGCATGGAGGGGGTGTGCAGTGTGGGGTGGGAGGGGTGCAGTGTGGGGTTCGAGGGGTGCAGTGTGGGGTGGGAGGGGTGCAGTGTGGGGTTTGAGGGGTGCAGTGTGGGGTTCGAGGGGTGCAGTGTGGGGTTCGAGGGGTGCAGTGTGGGGTTCGAGGGGTGCAGTGTGCATTTTGTGGGTGCAGCAGGGCAGTGGGGTGCAGGGTGCTGGGTACAGGGGCCATGCGGGGTGCAGGACATGCTGCAGGGGGCACAGGGCAGGGTTTGGGGTGCGGGTGTGTGGGGCACACGGTGACAGTGGGGTACCCTACAGGCTGTGCACGCTGTAGGATGTGCGGGGGGCTGGCAGGGCCGTCGGGGTTGGGTTGTGGGGTGCAAAGGGTGCAGGAGTTGGGGGGCCGAGCGCCGGCTGGGGGTCCCAGGAGGTCGGGGGATGCAGGCTGGCTGCGGGTGCAGGTTGCAGGGAACGGGGGGATGCCGGTGCGGGGTGCGGGGTGCCGGTGCGGGGTGCCGGTGCGGGGTGCCGGTGCCGGGTGCCGGTGCGGGGTGCGGGGTGCGGGTGCCGGGTGCGGGGTGCCGGTGTGGGGTGCAGGGTGCGGGGTGCGGGGTGCGGGGTGCCGGTGCGGGGTGCCGGGTGCGGGGTGCCGGTGCGGGGTGCGGGGTGCGGGGTGCCGGTGCGGGGTGCCGGTGCCGGGTGCGGGGTGCCGGTGCGGGGTGCGGGGTGCGGGGTGCCGGTGCCGGTGCGGGGTGCCGGGTGCCGGTGCGGGGTGCGGGTGCCGGTGCGGGGTGCCGGTGCGGGGTGCGGGGTGCGGGGTGCCGGTGCCGGTGCGGGGTGCCCGGTGCCGGTGCGGGTGCCGGTGCGGGGGCCGGGGCCGGTGGCGGGGGGCCGGGTGCGGGATGCGGGGGCCGGGGCCGGTGGCGGGGGGCCGGGGGGGAGGCGCCAGCCGGCACCTGTTGCTATGGCAAACGCTGCATTCGCCGTGGCCGGGGCTGCTGTTGCCTTTGGCACCGGAGCTGCAATTTGTTTCTAGAGCTTTCCAGCCGCAGCCGTTCCCAGCGGCGGGCGGGGGGCTCGGGCGGGGGCTCGGGGGGGCCGGGCCGGGCAGGACGCCGCTCTCGGCACCGCTCCCAGCCCCGGGCATCCCCCCGGCCCGCGGCCGGACCGGCGGGGGTGCTGGGGGGCTGCTGGGGGGCTGCGGCCGCCCCCCGACACGGGCACCGGGACCCCCGGGGTTTGGGGTGCCGGGCCGGGGGCTGCGGGACAGATGGGGGGGCTCAGCCCTCCCCGCCCCTCTCGCAGGCTGGGCTGGGGGAGGATGTGGGCAGGGGGAGTGGGGCTGGCTCCAGGTGGGGGTGGAGGGTGGGGGTGTGGGACTGGGGGTGCAGGATGCCGGACGGGGCTGTGGGGTGCCCGCTGGACCCCCAAGCACAGCCCTGTGCGGCCAGCGGGCGCTGGGGAGCGACTCCCCGGCCCCTTCCCTCCGCAGCCCCGGGAACCCCGGCCCCATCCCCGCTCCATCCCCCGGGGCACGGGGGTGATGTGATGCCCACGGCAGCTCCCCGCGGGCACGCTCGGCCCCGGCCCGGCACTCGGCCCCGGGCACCGCGATGCCCGTCGGTGAGGGGCCAGGGCTGGCACCCCGCACCCCCAGACCACCGCTATGGCCCCCCTGTCAGCGGCTGTGCCAGCAGCCCCACGGCACGGCACGGCACGGCACGGCACGGCACGGCACGGCACGGCACGGCACGGCACGGCAGTTCGGCCCCCCGTTCCCCGCCAATCGCCTCCTGGGGTGCCGCTGGCGGAGCCCCCCACCATCCCCGAACCCCCGGGGACCCCGGTCCCGCCGCGCCTCGGCACAGCCCCGGGGCGGGCACGGCACGGCACGGCACGGTCCGGACACGTGCGGCGGGAAGCGCCGGGGACACCGCGGCCGCACCGGGCACCTCGGGGGATCCCCGCGGCCGGGGGTCTCCGCCGTGCCGCCGGCACCGCCCGCACTGCCCGGACCCCCGCGGCACCGGGGTCCCTCCGGCAGCCCCGGGGGGCGGCGGAGCTCCCCCGGCCGCCCGGTGCGGCGGCGGCCGAGCCCGGTGGGCGCTGCCGAAGGGGCAGCTCGCGGCTTTGATTCGCTTCCAGCCAACATGGTCTCCAAATGCTCTAAAAATAGTTGTTGTGCGCACAAACCCCGCGGCCGCCGAACAAAGCCCCGGAGCCGCCGCGGCCCGGCCGCCTCCCGTGCCCACCCCGCCGGAGGCGCCGTGCGGGACCGGCCGCGCTCCCGTCCCGCTCCCCGCGCTCTTACCGGGCTGCGCTCGCCCGCCGCGGGCCGGGCCGGGCCGGGAAGGGCCGGGGGGCTCGGCGCCGTGCCCTCGCCTCAGGCCGCCGGGACCGGGCTCGGCGGCATCCCGCGAGGCTCGGCGGCGGTCACGGAGCCGCGGCGGGGACGGAGCCCCGCGGCCGCCGCGTCCCCGGCGGCGCTGGCCCCGCGGCTCGGGCCGGGCGAGCGGCGGCCCCAGCGCAGCCGCCGGTGCCGCTCCCGCACGGCAGCACCGGCGAGTCACGCTCGGCGCGGCGGCAGAGGCGTTCCGAAGTGGGTTACCTGCGCCGGCTGGGCGAGACACGCGGCAGCCACCGGCAGCCACGAAAATGGAAAACCCACCCGAAATCCCGCCTTTTTTTTTTTTTTTTTCTTTTTTTTTCCTTTTTTTTTTTTTTTTTTTTTTTTTTAATATATTTCGGGACCTCGGCGGTGCCGTGCCGCAGCCGGGAGCCTGCGGGGACCTAACCGGCCATTTTAGGTGACGGCGAGCGGGGTCCCCCGCAGCCCCCCGTGCCGGTGGCGAGCGGGGACGCCGTCACACAGTTCCCCCCGCCCGTCCCGAGGTGACCCCGCGAGCGGCGGTGACACCCCCGCCCTGGCCGGGGTCCCCGTGCGCCGGCGGCGGTGGGCACGCACCAGGGACCCCGGCCAAGCGCCTCTCCCGTGACAAGTGCCGCAGCGTATTATTATTGTTGTTGTCACTTTGAGTCACTGCCACCACCGCGCTCCTCCTCCTCCTCCTCCTCCTCCTCCTTCTCCTCCTCCTCCTTCCCAGCAGCAGGGAACGACTCCGGGATTGACTCAGAGGGGACAGGAGCGGCGGCCGTGAGTCACCCCCGCCCTGACTCACGGAGTGGGGGCCCCCCGAGCCCCCTCGGCGTGGGGGCTGCTGCCGGGGGGCGCAGGAACACGGTGGGCGCCCCCCGGTACGCAACTTCGCCTCCGACAGATGGTTGTGCCGAAGCCGCCGTGGCCTTGACCTCATCTCTGAGCTGTAATTTGGGGGTGAAATGTTTGGCCTCTGCGGGAGGAGCGCCTGGCCACGCGTGCCACAGCTCCGGGAGCCACCGGCAGCGGGGGGACCTGGGGGGCGAGGGGCCAGCGAGAGCTGGGCTGATCCTAAAACAGACCTGGCCTGGAGGGGCACCCTGGGGTGCTCAGCAGCACTGAGCCAGCCCCGTGGTGCGCCCCAAGGATGGAGTCACTGCACCCACAGCATCCCAGAGGGTGATTCCTGTACCCCACAGCACCCTGGGGAGTGATTCTGGCACCCCACAGCATCCCAGAGGGTGATTACTGCACCTCACAGCATCCCAGAGAGTAATTACTGCACCCCACAGCATCCCAGAGGGTGATTCCTGCACCCCACAGCATCCCAGAGGGTGATTCCTGCACCCCACAGCATCCCAGAGGGTGATAACTGCACCCCACAGCATCCCAGGGGGTGATTACTGCACCCCACAGCACCCTGGGGAGTGATTCTGGCACCCCACAGCATCCCAGAGGGTGATTCCTGCACCCTACAGCACCCCTGGGAGTGATTCTGGCACCCCACAGCAACCCTGGGAGTGATTATTGCACCCCACAGCAACCCTGGGAGTGATTCTGGCACCCCACAGCATCCCAGGGGGTGATTCTGGCACCCCACAGCATCCCAGGGGATGATTACTGCACCCCACAGCATCCCAGGGGGTGATTCCTGCACCCCACAGCATCCCAGAAAGTGATTACTGCACCCCACAGCATCCCAGAGGGTGATTCCTGCACCCCACAGCACCCCTGGGAGTGATTCCTGCACCCCACAGCACCCCTGGGAGTGATTCCTGCACCCCACAGCATCCCTGGGAGTGGTTCTGGCACCCCACAGCATCCCAGGGAGTGATTACTGCACCCCACAGCATCCCAGAGGGTGATTCCTGCACCCCATAGCACCCTGGTGAGTGGTTCCTGCACCCCACAGCATCCCAGAGGGCGATTACTGCACCCCACAGCACTCTGGGGAGTGATTCCTGCACCCCATAGCACCCCAGGGACCAACACCAGGCCCTGCCCTGCTCCACAGCACAGCCAAAACCAGGCACAGCCCCACAGCCGGGATGGGATGGGATGGGATGGGATGGGATGGGATGGGATGGGATGGGATGGGATGGGATGGGATGGGATGGGATGGGATGGGATGGGACGGGATGGGATGGGATGGGATGGGATGGGATGGGATGGGATGGGATGGGATGGGATGGGATGGGATGGGATGGGATGGGATGGGATGGGAGGGGAGGTTATGGGGTGGGATGGGATGGGAAGTTACGGGGTGCCATGTTGGGATGGGATGGGGAAGTTATGGGGTGCCATGTTGGGATGGGATGGGGAAGTTATCCGGTGGGATGTTGGGATGGGAAGGGATGGGATGGGATGGGAAGTTATGGGGTGGGATGTTGGGATGGGATGGGGAAGTTATGGGGTGGGATGTTGGGATGGGATGGGAGGTTATGGGGTGGGATGGGATGGGAAGTTATGGGGTGCCATGTTGGGATGGGAGGGGAAGTTATGGGGTGGGATGTTAGGATGGGAAGGGATGGGAGGGGAGGTTATGGGGTGGAACAGGACAGTGAGGTGTGTGAGCCCAGCGCCAGTCTGTGGCAGCCTCGCAGGTGGGACAGGGTGGATGGAGCCAGGGACAGGGAAGAGGCTGCTGCAGCACCGGGAAGGTCTCACCGGGAGCACCGGGAGCGCCACGTGCTCCGTTACCGGGAGAAAGCTCCGGAGAGATCCGATCCCGGCGCGCAGAGCCCCGAGCGCCCCGGGGACCCCGAGCAGGGCCGGGAGCTGCGCCGGGGCAGGAGCGGAGCGGAGCGATCCGGCAGGACCGGGCCGGGAGCCGGGAGCCGGGAGCGGCGGTTAACCGCGGGAACGGGCCCAACACCGCGGCACGCGCCGGGCCCTGGGCGAGGCAGCGCCGCGGCGGTGTGGGCGAGCGGAGCCCGCCGTGGGTTCCTCCCGCGCCGGGAGCCCAAACCGGCCCAACGGCCTGCGGGCAGCCCGCCCGAGCCAAACCCTCGGGAGCCACCGTGGCACGAGCGCGCCCGGCCCCGGCACGCGCCCGCGGCACCTGCCGGGCCCACGCGCTCCCCGCGGGCACCGCGCCCTGCCGGGGCACCGCGCCCTGCCGCGGCACGGCCCGTGGGGCGGCGTGGGGCAGGGACGTGCCAAAATCAAACTCGCTGCGCCAAAAACGCCGCCCGAGGCTCTGCTGGTGGCTGCTGTGGCACGGTGCGGCACGGCGCGGGCTCTGGGGGCACGGCCGCGGCTGCCACCGGGTTTCAGGGCCATGGACATGGCCAGCCAGGGTCACCGGGGGACACCGGGACACACCGGGACACACCGGGACACACCGGGACACATCAGGACACACCGGGACACACCGGGCCCGGCAGCAGGCACCGCATGGCGCCATTCCTCGAGGGAGCAGAAGCTGCTCGGTGTCACCAAAGCTGCTCGGTGTCACCAAAGCTGCTCGGTGTCACCACAGCTGCTCGGTGTCACCAAAGCTGCTCGGTGTCACCACAGCCTCTCGGTGTCACCAAAGCTGCTCTGCTGGCAAGTTTGGAGCTGACTCAGCACGAGGGGCCGGAGCTGCCGGAGCAGCCGGGCCCGGGGGGCTCCCGGGGGGCTCCCGGGGGCTCCCGGCAGTCATGGCCACCGCGGGATGTGGCTGCCCGGTGTGGCAGCAGCCAGCACGGAACTTGGCCGGTCCCGCGGTGACACCGGCGACGTCACACAAAGGGCAGAGGCACGGAAAGAGGAACTGAGCGAGGAGGAAAATCTCATTTGCCCACAGGTTTGCGCAGGCGAAACACCCCGGAAAGGAAAGCGGGGGGAGGAAACGGTGGGAGGGAAAGGGGAGAGGGGGAAGGAGGAGGGAGGGGAGAGGGGAAGTGAGGGGGAAGGGAGGCAGAGGGGGAAGTGATGAGGAAGTGGGAAACCAACGGGAAGGGGGAAGTGAGTGGAAAGGGCGAGAAGCAAGAAGGAAGGGGAAGGCAAAAAGGAAATGATGGGGAAGGCAGAAGGAAGAGCGAGATAAGAAACCAGAGGGGCAGGGGAGTGAGAGGGTAGTGGGAAGTGAGCAGGAAGGGGGAAGTGAGAGGGAAAGGGAAGGGGAGGATGAGCAGGAAGGGGGAAGTGATGAGGAAGTGGGCAGTGAGTGGGCAGCAGGAAGCAAGGGGAGATGCACAGGCAGGGGCAACAGAGCACGCGAGAGGGAAGGAAGGGGAGAAGCGAGGGAAGGAAGGGGAGAAGCGAGAGGGAAGGAAGGCAAGAAGTGAAAGGGAAGGAAGGGGAGAAGTGAAAGGGAGGAAGGGGAGAAGCGAGAGGGGAGGAAGGGAGAAGTGAAAGGGAAGGAAGGGGAGAAGCGAAAGGGAAGGAAGGGGAGAAGTGAGGGAAGGAAGGGGAGAAGCAAGAGGGAGGAAGGGGAGAAGTGAGAGGGAGGAAGGGGAGAAGCGAGAGGGAAGGAAGGGGAGAAGGGAAAGGGAAGGAAGGGGAGAAGGGAAAGGGAAGGAAGGGGAGAAGCGAGAGGGAAGGAAGGGGAGAAGGGAAAGGGAAGGAAGGGGAGAAGCGAGAGGGGAGGAAGGGGAGAAGTGAGATGGGAGGAAGGGGAGAAGCGAGAGGGAAGGAAGGGGAGAAGCGAGAGGGAAGGAAGGGAAGAAGTGAAAGGGAAGGAAGGGAGATGCGAGAGGGAAGGAAGGGGAAGGAGCCCGGCCCGGCGGCGGGACCGGAGCGGGCAGGACAGGACGGGGCAGCCCCGGCCCCGCCAGGCCCCGGCCCGCCGCCCCTCCCGCGGGCCCCGCGGCGCTGCGCCTCCCCCGGGGGGGATTTTTGGTGCAAAACCCCCGAAGTTCGGGCAGGGCCGGCCCCGCCGCGGCCCCGCGTCCCTGCCGGGGGCACAGGCGGCGGTGCCGCCGGGCCCCGCTGCCCTTCAGCCGCCCGCGCCGCGCTCAAGGACACGGCGGCGCCGCGGGGCCGGGCCGGGCCGGGCCGCACCGGCAGCGCCGCTCGCACGGCCGGGCCGAGCGGGGCCGAGCGGGGCCGAGCGGGGCCGGGCCGGGCCGGGCCGGGCGGGGGCGGCGCGGGGCCGGGGGGGCACAGCCGGCGGGCCCGGCCCTGCCGTGTTTTCCGCCGCGGGCCCGGGACGGCGGAGACCGCGGGGCCGCGGGGCCGGGCCGAGCCCCGGCGGAGGCAGCCGAAGTGCGCCGGAGGGAGCCGAACCGCGGCCGGAGGGAGCCGAACCGCAGCCGCAGGAGCCGAACCGCGGCCGCAGGAGCCGAACCGCTCCGGATGGGCCCGAGCCCTCCCGAAGGCACCGCCCGAACCGAACCGAACCGGACCGGACGGAGCGGGACCGGCCCGAGCCCCGCCGAACGCCGCGGCCGAACTGACCCGAGCGCAGCCGAGCGGCCCGGGCCGGGCCGGCGGTGCCGGTGCCGGTGCCGGTGCCGGTGCCGCTGTCCCGCTGTCCCGCTGTCCCGGTTACCTGGGCCGCCGCGGGCCCGGCGCAGAGCCCCGCCGAGCCCCGCCGAGCCGTGCCGAGCCCCGCCGCGCCGCCGCCGCCGCTGCGCTGCCCGGCCAGGCCTCCTCCCGCAGCGCCGCCGCCTCCACTGCAGCACCGAGCCCGCCGCGCGGTCCTAGAGCCCGCCGGCCGCGCGCACGGCACGGCACGGCACGGGGCGGCACGGCACAGGGCGGCACGGAGCGGCACGGAGCGGGGCGGCACGGCACGGCACGGCACGGCACGGCTCGGCACGGCACGGCTCGGAGCGGGGCGGCACGGCTCGGAGCGGGGCGGCACGGAGCGGCACGGAGCGGCACGGCACGGCTCGGAGCGGCACAGCATGGCCCGGGCACGGCCTGGAACAGCACTGGCACAGGCACAGGCACGGGCACATCTATGCACAGCATGGCATGGCACGGTACGGCATGGCACGGCTCGGAGCAGCACGGCACGGCTCAGAGCGGCACGGCACAGCATAGTGCGGAGCCAGGCCGGCACGGCTCGGAATGGCACGGCACGGCCCGGAACAGCACTGCACTGGCACAGGCACAGGCACGTCTAGGCACAGCATGGCACGGCACGGCTCGGCCCGGCACAGAGCTGAGCTCCTGCGCCAGGGCAGGGACAGAACCCCGTGTGAACACATGGTGTGCCATGCCAAACCCTGCCGTGCCATCCCAAACCCTGCCGTGCCAAACCAAACCCTGCCGTGCCATCCCAAACCCTGCCGTGCCAAGCCGTGCCATCCCAAACCCTGCCGTGCCAAACCAAACCCTGCCGTGCCAAGCCGTGCCAAGGCCTTCTGTGCTGTGCCAAGCCAGGCCGGGTAGAGCCAAGTGTGGCCAAGGGCTGTGCCGTGCCAAGCCAAGCTGTGCCAAGGTGTGCTGTGCCAGTCTAGGCCAGGCTAGGCTGGTCTGAGCCAAGCTGGGATAGTAGAGGGCTGTGCAGTGCCATGCCGTGCCAAGCCGTGCCAGGCTCTGCCATGCTAAGACCAAGCCAAGCCATTCCATGCCGAGCCGAGTCAAGCCAGGCCAGGCAGGGCCGGGCCAAGCACAGTCAAGGTCTGTATGGTGCCAAGCGAAGCCGCGCCGTGCTGTGCCAAGCCGTGCCAAGCCATGCCAGGGCAGGCTGGTCTGAGCCAAGCCAAGCCAAGCAGAGTCAAGGGCTGTGCTGTGCCAAGCCAAGCTGTACCGTGCCGAGCCAGGCCGTACCTGATCAAGCCAAGGGCTGTCCAGTGGCATGCCAAGGTGTGCCAAGCCATGCCAGGCTGTGCTGTGCTGTGCCAAGCCAGGCTGGGCCAAGCCAAGTGTGGTCAAGAGCTGTGCGGTACCAAGCCAAGCCAAGCCAGGCCGTGCTGTGCCATGCCATGCATGCCAATCCAATCCAATCCAATCCAATCCAATCCAATCCAATCCAATCAAATCCAAACTGATCCAATCCAATCCAATCCAATCCAATCAAATCCAAACTGATCCAATCCAATCCAATCCAATCCAATCCAAACTGATCCAATCCAATCCAATCCAATCCAATCCAAACTGATCCAATCCAATCCAATCCAATCCAATCCAATCCAATCCAATCCAATCCAAACTGATCCAATCCAACCCAATCCAATCCAATCCAAACCGATCCAATCCAATCCAATCCAATCCAATCCAATCCAATCCAATCCAATCCAATCCAATCCAATCCAATCCAATCCAATCCAATCCATTCCAATCCGATCCGATCCGATCCAATCCAGTCCATTCCAATCCAATCCAATCCAATCCAATCCAATCCAATCCAAGCCGTGCCATGCCATGCCATGCCATGCCATGCGTGCCATGCCAATCCAATCCAATCCAATCCAATCCGATCCGATCCAATCCAATCCAATCCAATCCAAGCCAAGACGTGCCATGCCATGCCATGCATGCCATGCCATGCCAATCCAATCCAACCAATTCAAGCCAAGCCAAGCCAAGCCAAGCCAGGCTGTGCCAAGCCAAGCCAAGCCAGGCTGTGCCAAGCCAGCCAGCCATCCTTACCCTCTCCCTTCTCCCCGCACGGTGCCAGCCGTGTCCCCCGATCCCTGGTGCCAGCGCGACCCCCGGGCCCTGACAGGACCTCTCGGGGGCTCTGCCCTCAGGGTACCCCATGTCGGGGCTGCAGCACCCCTGGGTGCTGAGGGGGCTTGGGGGGCTCGGGGGGCTCAGGGGGCTCAGGGGGCTCAGGGGGCTCAGGGGGCTGTGGGGGCTATGGGGGCTCAGGGGGCTCTGGGGGCTCAGGGGGCTCAGGGGGCTTAGGGGGCTCAGGGGGCTCAGGGGGCTCAGGGGGCTCAGGGCTGGGATTGGGGATCTGGGGGCTCAGGGGGCTCGGGGGGCTCAGGGTGGGATTGGGGAGCTGGGGGGTCAGGGGGCTCAGGGGCTCAGGGGCTCAGGGTGGGATTGGGGAGCTGGGGGGTCAGGGGGCTCAGGGGCTCAGGGGCTCAGGGTGGGATTGGGGAGCTGGGGGCTCAGGAGGCTCAGGGGGCTCAGGGTGGGACTGGGGAGCTGGGGGGGCTCAGGGGGCTCAGGGTGGGACTAGGGAGTTCCAGAGACTCCAGCGGAACCAGGGGGGCCGTGGGGAGCTCACGCTGCCGCTCCCAACCCCTGGCACAGGTGCTGCTTTCAGTCCACAAAACCCTGCCCTTGCTCCACGCCGAGGATGGGGTGACTTTGGGGGGGCCCCTCGGAGCATCCAGCAGCGCCTGGGCACTGTCTGGGCGCCAGGGCTGTGCCCCAGAGCCTGGCACGGGCGTGGGAGGGCCCAGCAGCTTTGGCTGTGCTTTGGCTGTGCCAGGACTGCAGCCCCGAGAGGGGCCCCTGGGCAGAGCTCCCCTCGCCCTCCGTGCTGGAAGGCTCCTGGGGCACAGGGGGGCACTGCAAAATAACGCATTAATTACCAATGCTAATTAATGGCGTGTTCCCTGCTGGGCTGGGCCCTGCTCGCTGCCACGGGTGTCCTGAGGAGCCTCCCGTGCGTGTGGGGGATCCCGGCTGGAAAGGGGCAGAGCAGAGGATTGGGATTGATCCCCCAAATCACACAGGCAGGGTCCTGCTGGGCTGGGATTAAACCTCAGATCCCATGGGCAGGGTCCTCTGGGCTGGGATTGAACCTCAAATCCCATGGGCAGGGTCCTCTGGGCAGGAATTGGGATTTACCCACCGATCCCACGGGCTGGGATTGGGATCTAACCCCTGATCCCACGGGCTGGGATTGGGATTTAACCCCTGATCCCACGGGCAGGAATTGGGATTTACCCCAGATCCCATGGCCAGGAATTGGGATTTACCCCAGATCCCACGGGCAGGAATTGGGATTTACCCCAGATCCCATGGCCAGGAATTGGGATTTACCCCAGATCCCACGGGCAGGAATTGGGATTTACCCCCTGATCCCATGGGCTGGGATTGGGATTTACCCGCCGATCCCACGGGCTGGGATTGGGATTTACCCCAGATCCCACGGGCAGGAATTGGGATTTACCCCAGATCCCATGGGCTGGGATTGGGATTTACCCCCTGATCCCATGGGCTGGGATTGGGATTTACCCCCTGATCCCATGGGCAGTGATTGGGATTTACCACCCAGATCCCATGGGCAGGGATTGGGATTTACCCGCTGATCCCACGGGCTGGGATTGGGATTTACCCCTGATCCCATGGGCAGGGATTGGGATTTACCCGCCGATCCCATGGGCTGGGATTGGGATTTACCCCCCGATCCCATGGGCTGGGATTGGGATTTGCCCCTGATCCCATGGGCAGGAATTGGGATTTATGCCCCGATCCCACGGGCAGGAATTGGGATTCACCCCCAGATCCCACGGGCAGGAATTGGGATTTAACCCCTGATCCCATGGGCTGGGATTGGGATTTACCCCTGATCCCATGGGCTGGGATTGGGATTTACCCCCTGATCCCATGGGCAGGAATTGGGATTCATGCCCCGATCCTGTGCTGGGGAACAGTCCCGCCGTGGCGCTCAGGGAGCTCCGTGGCCCCGAGCAGCTCGTCCGTCCCTGTCCCTGTCCCCGTCCCCATCCCCGTCCCCGTCCCCGGGCTGGCGTGTCCCCAGAACTGCTGCTCCCTCCCCCAGGGCCGGGCTCACCAGGGTCCCCCTCGCTGCAACCCCCCGGCAGCGCGGCCTTGGCACCGCGGCCCGGTGACACGGTGACACAGCCCGGTGACAGAGACACGGTGACAGAGCCTGGTGACACGGTGACACGGTGACACAGCCCGGTGACACAGCCCGGTGACACGGTGCCATGGCCTGGTGACACAGCCCGGTGACACGGCCTGGTGACACGATGACATGGTGACACAGTGACATGGCCCGGTGACAAGGAGACACGGTGACATGGCCTGGTGACATGGTGACACGGAGACACGGTGACACGGCCCGGTGACATGGCCTGGTCACATGGTGACACGGCCCGGTGACAGGAGACACAGTGACACGGCCCGGTGACACGGGCCAGTGACACAGTGACATGACCCGGTGACACGGCCCGGTGACACGGAGACACGGTGACATGGCCCAGTGACAGAGCCCGGTGACACGGTGACATGGCCCGGTGACACGGCCCGGTGACACGGTGACACGGTGACATGGCCCAGTGACAGAGCCTGGTGACATGGTGACACGGTGACACGGCCCGGTGACACAGCCTGGTGACACGGTGACATAGCCTGGTGACACGGCCCGGTAAAACAGTGACACGGTGACACAGTGACATGGCCCGGTGACACAGCCCAGTGACATGGTGACACAGTGACATGGCCCACTGACAGAGCCCGGTGACACGGTGACATGGTGACAGCTGCCGGGGCACGGGCCGGTGACAGAGCCTGGTGACATGGCCCGGTGACATGGCCCGGTGACACAGTGACACGGTGCCAGCTGCCGGGGCACGGGCAGGTCCCTGGGGCCGGGATTGGATTAATTAATCTCACCGAGGATGGGCTCCAAATTAAGGCGGTGCTGGTGACACGGCCCGGCAGG